TTTAAGAACCTTTGTAAAATACTATATATAAACTAAGTACAATATACTAAATAACAAAAAAAAATATTATTTTGGCTCTGTTAGATTTGAGTGTGTTAGATTCTAAGTTTTCGAGGTGTTAGGTCGTCGTAATTGAAAATTAGTTCTCGACGTTTCGTCATCACAAGTGAATAACGTTATCAGGATTATCAAAGCCACAGATTTGTTCCATTCGATTGTATCGTCTTTCAACGATGTTACCAGCTGATCACATTAGGTCCTCAAAATTTACTGTAACATTGCAAATATGGTATGTATATAATTAACGAAATGTTAAAAAAAGAACGACGATTTTATCGTATTCATTTAGTTTTATTTACCCTCCTAAGTTCGTGAATTTATTGATATATTACCGTTTCAAAGGATAGAACCGCCTTATTGATCAAACATTCGATTTATGCTGAAAATAAAAGTTTACCCTAATGAAAATAGGTCACCCTGTTACTGCAGTGCACAAGATAAACCTGATGGCAGTCGTAAATAGAGCATTAAATTCGCATAACCAAAGCGAGGCATTGAAATAGATAAAAAATATACAGTATCAAAAGGGACTATGTGAATAGGGAAAAAGGAATAATAAATGATTTTTTGTATAAACTGCTAAATATCATTAAGTCTACAGTTGAGGTACTTCAGTTAAAAATAGTAACAGAATTATATCACTGTACTATAGTTACAAAATCTAAATATAAAAACAGAATCATGCTAACAAACAAATAGAAACGTAAGCATTCAACACTTATTCCACCCTTCGGAATTCAAATTATTCATATTATGGTTTAAACATTCTTATTTAATTTAAATAAAACACTTTAACCGTTTAAAACGCGATATATTAGTTAGTAGCAGCCGTGGTCACGTACACAATAAGTTTAACTGATAAAATCGCGTTTTGAACCGTTAAAGTGTTTTTTTTAATGTGTACTACTCGCGTAAACTATAGACAGTATTCTTATTTAAATTCGAAATGTAAACTTTATTATTTTCACTAACTGCATTTGTAGCGTGTGAATAATCGCGAATATTAAACCGAATTCGAAATTTAAATCGAATTAACGAGCATATTCGCTGAATCACACGGCTTTAATTAGAACCGGAATTGTACAGTTCGGACACCTTTAGATGTAACAAAATACATTCACAGTTCCACGAACGCATCCAACTCGGGTGACTGAATCGAATCGCTTATTTTATCGTTCAAAACCTATATAGAAAGATCATCCGTACATGAACTTGGTAATTAGAACATTGAAGGTTATTTTTACCAACGAACAGTTTTATGAGGTAGGTACATGTTTTTTTTTCTGTACGCAAAGGCCTGGAAGAAACTCTTGAAAGTAAATAATTAATTTAGTGGTGCTTTATTAATATTTTTAAAAAATCGACAGCACGAGCGGAATATGAAGCGGCATCCCCAGCCATCTGTTGCGTTGCTGGTCAAACCAAATTTTAGTCAAGTTTCGATTTTTTTTAACTTATATTGACTTGAAATGTATCTCTCCTTAACACGTATTGAAGTTCAATGGTCTTTATGCTTTGCAAATTAAAAAATCAGTCAAGAAGCAATTACAGAGTTTAAGGTTAAAACATTTATTATTTTCACTTGTTGACGTTTTTATATTAACACACGATGGCTGTATATAAATCGATATCTCGTATACATATAATAGCGCTACAAGTATTTTTTATTACACGGCATAGCCATAAGACCAATTAAAGAAGATGGTTCACGCCTTAAAGATCATTATGAGTGTTATTTATTCACATCACGATATCTTCGTTTTTACTATTGCCAAGTTCATTGTATCGATTATTGTTGCAATAGAGATTTTAAAGACTTCAACGCTTATGGATTTGTTTTTAAATCACATTGTATGATAAAATAATCTAAACACAATTAATGATAAATACTATATATAATTCATTACGTATTGTTAACACTAGTATCTATAGATTTCAATTATCAGTTTTTTTATATGAAGAACTATTTGATGACTTTCGTTTAACAATTCTTAAACAGGTTTTTTTAAATTTGTTTACTTAAATGGAGCATGGTCTGCGTTATCTTGAGTATATGTTTTTTTGGGTTAAAAACTTAGTACCTATCCCGCACAGCTAGCACTATACCTAGGTCTAGACTACAGTCAGCTGTTTCTTGCTAACATACTAAAACAAATATATGAGTTTTTGTAGAGTTTTAATTCTTATTGGTGATAATTGTAATTAGCGACATCAATTAATTATTATTTAAGCCGAGCTATCTCAACGATTCGAATTCTCTCTTCTTATCGATTGAAAAAATCACGGCAATTCCAGGAATGTAATAACCGCAAAGGATTATCCGATTAGAATTACATTCGTTATGATAAATTGATAATGGAGGATTAGCTTCGTTCGATTGTAAGAAGACAAATAATATATTTTTTATGAAATACTACATTATCCTGCACTATCCCTGCGGCTAGTGTGACCAGCGACGTTTTCCATTTTGATCAAGTGTCTTAATGAGTCACTACACAAAAGATTCTTAAGAATTCATTTCCGTAACACAGTCGAACTAGATATGTGCCGTACAAATTTGAATTTCAGTTTTTTTTGCGAAATACAGTTTAATAATAAATCCTGGTGTAAAGTGTATTATGGTAAGCGATGCCATTTTGTATGGATAGCGCAAGATTGCTTTTGCCCTGCGGCCATCGATTCCAGGACATGAACGAAATTGATTTTCTTTACAATTTCTGACTCTTTAAGTTTGGTAAACAGTTACCGTATTTTCAAAGGGGAAGTCCTTTGAAAGGCGATTTTGATTTTTTGGTTTTTTTAACGCATAATATATCTAATGCATCACAAAAATTATTATGTAAATAAAATAAAAACTAGGCCAATTATTGAGGCACATCACGAAAAATGGAACCTCTCTCAAAGATGATATTGGTCAGCCTAAGTCAAGGAAGAATTTAAATCTCTTCATATACTAGCGATTAGCATACATAAGAAGGTCATATCGGCGCCTCCTTTGGCGCCGACAAGTCGCAAGCGGAATAGGGATATTTGCCATCATGCGGACGCTGACTGTATATTATCTGTGTAGCATAGTGTGTTGCTAGCCAAAAAAAAAGAAATATCTAGTTCAAGAGAATTACATTTTTCGGTAAAACTGTTCCAGTTTGCAGATATATGAAGCTGCTAGAGGCCGAGTGAGTGGCCTAATAACAAAAAACATGGTTTTTCAATAAGCACGAAAATAAAATTGCGCAATTAACTTAGGCGAGACTGAATTTGTACTATTATTTGCGTAAAATTATGTTTACGATATTCGGTCACTGTGCTCTTGTAGATAAACATTTTAAGAATATGAAAAGATAAATAAGTTAAGTCATAAAATTGCAGTTAGGCTACTCTGTCTAGCAGCCTCATATGATAATATAACAGTAAAATTATCAGTCGCTAATTTGTTTTTAAATTCCACAGTAGGACATCAATCAGATACATTTCATAGTTTGATACACTTATTTAAAGGCAAGTACTTTTGTAGTATGCCTGAATGAACCAATTTGTTAATTTCCAGGGATTCAAACTACTCTCTTGTACTGTAAATACACAGAGATTGGTAAATCAGCTAATGAAATAACTTTTTAGGCCTTTAAAGCCAACAAAATTAACCAATTTAATGAAAGCAATACTTTTTTGTCAAATGATCGCACCAAACTAAATCATGGACTGTGATATTTTATATGTGAAATAAATTTGCTTTATTGTATGTATAATAAGGCAAAATTACATATGTAATTGGACATAAAGGTTTTCTATACACTACCTAATTATATATTTCAAGCCGAAAAATGTTAGTATGAATTTGAGTTTCAGAAGCTAATTTAATTTTTTGACCAACATTTTCATTCTAATCTCAAATACATGTTCAATTCTCTCAATCTTTAATTATATTTATAAAGCAAATTAAAGGCTTGTGTAAGTTTAAATTATGTGTGTAATACACAACACAAACACAATCTTGTTTAAAAAAATAAGGATTGTTTAAAAATGATTGTGGAGTGTACACTTTTTATTCTAAGATATCCTCCAAGTCATTGATAAAAAAAGCTATATCTCCATATATTTAAGCACCTTAATATAGATTTTTTAATAATACTCTCTCATAATAATCGATTGATGATGTAATTTTTTTTAATTATTACTATAAATATTCATATAGATATCATGGACAGTTACTAATAATAATAATTACTAATTACTTAATGATAGTTTAAATATATAATTTGGCCCTATTCATTCTATATGGACCGCCGTCAAAGTTTATCCCAAAAAAATATTGTAATGTTTATAACAGAAAAATATTTTGATCTAAAGTAAAATTTACCTGCGGCAAATAAACTCGAAATTCGTTGTAAACGTAGAGTTAAAAAGTTTATGCAGTTAGATCTTAACACGCACTAAAAGTTCAATAACACTCAATTAATTATTGTTCATATTTTCATTCAAAACTCAAACAAAACATTTCTTATTCCACAATCACAAATACAACCATCGCCTTTCAACACTCTATATTTTTTCTACCCCGACCCCTGCCCACGCCCGCAATTGTCAATGTCAATGTCAATATGTTAATTGTCAGTTTATCTGCAGACACGAATGTTATTTATAAGGCGAAGTTAACTTATTTATTTTACAGTTCTCTTACTCCAACGATTCCAAAAATATTTTAATTATATACCTTATATATTATTAAGTTTAAATAAGTATATACGTTTTATAAATTATAAAAAGTGTAATTGAAATCAATTGTCATCGGTCAAAAATGAGATAACACGGACTTTTATTTGTCAGTAATTTTGTCATAATTTGTCAATTGAATAACAATAAACGCGCTATTTTACATCCCAAGTAAATAACATTGATAATCTTAATTTGATCAATGATAAATATGTTGTAGATATAAAAAAATGGAGGAGGAAAGTAAGTATAATATCAAAACAATAAAAGTAACATCTTCCCCTATTTTGCTTTGGTTCTAAGATTTTCATCTTATTTTTTTCAGAACTTATTCGTAAGAAGAAGAAAGCCCTGAATGGTAGCAATAGACGTGCTTACGCTGAAGCCTGTAATGATTTAGCAACGTATTATTATAAACAAACTAGATATAGTGATGCTTTGGATGAGTACAAAAATGAAGCAGCCGTGTGTAAAGAGATGGGCCTTAGAATGGAGTGGGGAGGATGCAATAGGATGATAGGGGAGATGTACATGCTATTAGCAGAGTTTGATAAAGCTCTTAAGTATGAAGAACGACACTTAGGTACGTGATTTTTCTTTCACAAAAAGGTACAAAGTCAATGTTTTAAGGAGTTAATATTTATTTGTGAAACAACAGAACAGCTGATCTGTAGTTTTGGATGAGTTTGATTCTCTATTTTTTTGTGAAATTTAGTAGTACAATGTTTAAAATAAGTAGTAAAAAGTTTAAAGCTACATGCAATTATAACAACACAACCCTATAATAATGCTATGCTTTCCTACAAGTTGTTTGAAATATTATACACTTTAATTAAAGTACTTGATGTAATATATATTTGTAGCTGTTGCTAAGGAACTAAATAACTTAGTGGAAGAACAGAGGGCGATGGCAACATTGGGACGAATATACCTTCTACAAGGACAAAGCACATCTGACCATGAGGAATCCAAAAGATCTTTAACTGAAGCAGAAAAGGCTTTTCTAAGGAGTCTTGTATTATGTGAAAAGTAAGTATTATTTTGTTGTATATGTGCAAGAATAGAAAGCTAGTCTATTTTTTGTCTAGCTCCTCTACCTCATAGTCAACAAATGGCTTATCTATTGTATCTAATCTATATTAACTTTTTCAGGCTAAATGGAAAGATAAACAAATCTGAACTAATGGACATGAGGGCTCGCCTCTTATTAAACATAGGAGTTGTACAAGAGCAACTTGGCAATTTGGACAAGGCAGTCGACTGCATCAACAAAGCTATAACTATATGCTCTAATCAAGATTTGTATGAAGTTCTACACAATTGTTACACAACACAAGCCTTATTGTACTGTAATAAGATGAAAGATTATCCAAAAGCACTGAGCTGTTTAAATAAGGCTTTAGAGGTTGCAGGTAGATTGGATGATAAGGTAATTTCTTTCATAAGTATTGCATCTATATAATAAGTGAAATCCTGTTTCCCCCTTGTAGGGCATGGGCAAACACATTTTATGTCTGTTTCAAATATCAACTTGAACAGGCAAATAGTTCGTCAGACTTCTGTGGCCAGTCTGACTGAAATTTTTTTTTGTTTCCCTGGGATGCGAATCCAAACCTCTCGCGCTTAACGCAATGGTAGGCAATACGTTGAAGCAAAAATAATACTGAAAATAATATTTTTTAATTTTAATACATTATTATCAATCTTTATTGTATTGTATAAATTACTTATACTTCTGCTGGTCTGCTATCAGTTCATTATTTTCCCGAGAGTCCTTTTGTCTTTATAAGTCTGTGCATCCCTAGTCTATATATGAGTGTAGAAGCTTGGCACTTTCCATATCTGTGTTAGGTAAATGATACATATTTGAATATTAAAATTATTGGTTCTAAGGACGGTTTCATTCCACCTTTTATTTTTTAAGTGAATCTGTGAGTATTTACCTCATATTCCTGACTATACAAATATAACTCGTTCTGAGTATTGGAAATAATACAGAGCACTATTTTACCGTTTCTATTACTTTTCGAGCTTAAATAAAACACTTTAAGGTTTAAAACGCGAAATGTATATATTAAACTTATTTACATATTATTTTACTTATGGCTCATCGCTTAGATGCATTGGAGCAACATAGTAACTGAGAAACTAAAATGGACATGTAATGGATTCGCTGAAAGTTTCATATTAAAATTTAGTTGCGTAAACTACAGGCAGCATTTACTTTATATTTCAGGTTCTCAAAGTATGTGAGACTCTTTCAACAAAAGCAGATATTTTATGCAAAATGTCAGACTATCACAGCGCTAAGCAAGTCCTATACAAAGCTTGGAAATTAAAAACACCAGATGAAGAGGAAAGGGAAAATATTGAGAGTAATTTAAAAGTTGGTAAGTCATTTTTGAATTATGAGTTAGAGTTCTTGATATCTATATTGTATATCTTCACAAGATTTGATTCCAAGTGTCTAATAGATGCTAAGTTATATGCGACATTATGTATAGTTTACCCGAGATTTACTAATCTGTTAGCCTCGTTAGGCGTTAGGATGGCAAATCAAATCAAATCATTTAATCCACACACACACAAACGTAAAATACAATGACAAAAAATAGTAATAGATGCAGGAGGGATACCACTCAGCTTTCGTTGTACCTGAAAGTAGGCACAACGCCGATATTCAGAGATGCCCCGAGCTTGACATTTAAAGTAGACTATTATTACATTAATACAATTGTATTGTAAAAAAAACAATTAACAAAACATAAAATAGAAGATGTCAGAATCTTAATAGATAGTTCTAATGAAACTCACGGTCACTGATCATCCGGCCTACCACAGGTGTCCCCGATAGAAAATAATAATAATGAAACTCACATTTTACTTGATTTTTTCAGTTGCCGCAATGTGTTACACAGAAGACCTAATAATATCAACCGATCCATCTGACTATCCGACGTTCAAGAAATTGTATGAAAAACTTGGAGACGGCGCGTGTCACTTGAAGAACTATTCAGCGGCTGTTGAATATTATTTAAAAATGTTAGACCATGCTGAGCTAGCTGGCGATTGTGGGAAGACATTAATACCGATTTACGTCAGGTAATGTATACATTTAAATAAAAAATTGCTAAGCATCTGTACATCTAGGTGGCCAGTAGTACACATCAAAACCAAACACTAACCGTTTAAAACGCGATGTAATTATTTTTACTTCAGCCCGATGTTTCACCAAATACCAAATTACGACGCAACAGATGGCGCTAGCGTAGCAGCACTAGATATATATCGCGCTTTAAACCGTTAAAGTGTATTATTTAAACATGAAGTCGTTTTTAGAGTTTTTATAAGTTATTTACAAATAATTTGACGAATACAATTCGTGATTTAAATAAAACACTAACGGCTTAAAACGCGATATATTAGTTTAACTTATTTGAAAATCAATATCAATAGTCAATTCTGTAAGGACCCGGCTAGTTTCGCCAAATACCGACTTCGACGGAACAGATGGCGCTAGCGTAGCAATTTTTTACTTTGACGTCAGAGACATCCTCCATCTTTAGTCTCCCCGTGACCACGGCTGCTGCAAAGCATTCGAAACGTCAGGCCGAAGTTAAAAAATCATTTTTAAATAATTTTAACTAATATATCGCGTTTTAAACCGTTAAAGTGTTTTATTTAAATTTGTACTACTCGCGTAAACTATAGACAGTATTTAATTCGTGATTTATTTAAATCTGAACTAACCGTGTTAACTACAAACGGGACATAATAGTTACTTATTATAAAAAAGCACAGGAAGAACGAATCCTACCTGTTTTTTTTTCTCAAATTCCTGTATTACAAAAACTAACATTAGAGTAACACACAATGTATCTCTCCCACACACACACACACAAAGTTTCGTGTCATAATTGTAACTTGGTATGTTATTTATTACTGTGACATATTTATAGAAAAAATATTCAACATTGATTTTATCTTTCAGCCTCTATCAAACTTACAAAGACATGGGCCGTTACAATGAAGCCCTCCAGTATTACTATAAAGAGTACGAACTCATAAAAGATGTTCCCAAAGAAGCATTTACCACTTTGTACAATATAGCTGAAGTCGCTTACCTGGCTAAAAAACCCTACGAACAAATTGAGAAGGCGTGTCTGGAAGCTAGAGACGCTGTAAGTATATATTTTCACATTTATTCTATTAAAAATATAGTATTTTCTTTGTCGAACTTGGTGACTAGTCGTCTCCGCTTCCGAGGGGCATGAACAACTCCATAATCGTGAAATCTTACACTGACACTGATAGATATCTATGTCGGTTTAAATAAACAATGTTACTTTTGAAATTACTTCTGCACCCTGTCCACTGAAACAAAAAACATTTTTATTTGTTGGAATGTACCTATACCTGTGCCTGTACCGTAATATGCTTTATTACTATTGTATCTCGAAAATCATTTTGTAGACTCACAAATATCTTTACAATGTTAAAAATTAGTTAAACATATGTATGTTTAACTAATTTGTACTACTAACTAATGTTAGTTAGTAGTTAGTAATTAGTTAAAAAACTTTTCTTTCTCTTCATTAATTGAATACATTTACATTCACGCAAACATAACTTATAAATGGTGAGTTTTCACATTTTTTATTAAATACTATCTATATGTTTTTATTTCATAATAATTTGTTTCAATGAGAACTTTAAATTTAAACCTGAAGATACCAAAATTCAACACTTTACAAATTACAAAGGCTATTAAATTATCTGTTGTTAACGCAAGTAATGAATATTTAAATAAAACACTTTTAACAGTTTAAAACACCAAGTCCAGTCCCCACATGGCCACGTGACCATGGCTACTGCATAGCATTCAAAACATTGTTTATGTAGTTAAAATAAACATTTATCTAATGTATTTCGCGTTTTAAACCGTTAAAAGTTTATTTGTAGGATATGAAAATAAATAAATGGATTTGATTTCGTGTGTAATCGTCAAAATTTTCCAGGCTAGAGAATGGAACAAAAAGAAGTACGAAATACGGATTTTGAAAAGCCTATTGAAATACCAAGAAGAATATTTGGAACTCGATAAAATGGAGGACACTAAGAGTGAACTCCAAGCCCTCGGTTACGACATTTCAGATAATTTAGAGGTCTCCGAAGACGAAATGAGCTCAGGTGGCAACGGTGACGAAGATACACCACAAATTGGAGATGACATTTGTCTAGACGATCTAACAGGTCAAAACTTCATATTAAACTAGTAACATATATAATATATTTTGAAAGCCATATAAATAATCATTAGATGCTGATTGGCGCCTACATTTTAAATAAATATACACTATTAGTATACCACAGAAATAGCAAAGAAGAATAAAGTTTAGGATGGCAAAGAATATCAAATATACCCAAACCCCTGAAAGAATAACCGAGTAATCGGCAAAACTCGGCCAGGTTTTAGGCCGAATAGGCCGGATACCGAATATTCGTTTTCAAGTTTAAGTTTAAATGCATCAACACATTATTAAGCAGTGATAAATGAAAAAAAAAAATAGTCATAAAAAAACTACATGAAATAAACTAATCACATACAAAAATAAATATTATTATAAGGAATACGTTTTTACTACAAATTAAATATGTACTGCCTCTTACAGATCTATCAGACACAAACGAAGAAGATGCTGTGGAAACAAAGCGGGAGACTCGACGTAGAGGAAAAGGCTTTACCATCAAGAAGAATATGAAAGGCGAAACTCAGTTACATGTTGTTAGTATTTACTACGAATATTCAAAGACAAAATAAGCCGACAGCGCTTGTCTGTTCTTGTAATTTTATTGAATTAAAATCTTAGCATTTCCTATAGAAAGGACGATCTGTCTACGTCTTTTAATCACAGTTCAATAACATTAAAAATCTCATAGTAAATTGACAATTTAAAACGTATCCACTACCAAGTAATATAAAAAAGTAGAAATACCACTTTCAAAATCAAAATACTCTCTAATTTTTTCCTTAACTTAACTTCCAATATTTCAGGCAAGTATATCAGGAAATAAGCTGCTGGTAGAACGGCTTCTAGCTCAGGGTCACCCTGTGAATATTCGCGATAATGCTGGCTGGCTTCCGCTACACGAAGCTTGTATACATGGGCATGTTGAAGTTGCTAATTTGCTGATTAATCATGGCGCCAATGTTAACGATAGGGGTGGAGCCAATTGTGACGGTAAGAAAGGACTGTAGTGATTTGATTTTCATATATAAATCAGTGAAACGGACAAGTGTGTTGCCCACGATTACATACAGAAGTAAAATAACTGAGACGTTATATACGTGTTCATGTTATTTTTAATATTTCCAAAAGCTCTCGAATGAAATGTTAATGGTTAGACGTTGCAAGCATGGCGATAAGCAAGTTGATCAAGTCAATAAAATCGATGTGTGAAATATGTTTGTAAGAAGCATAATCGATGAATATAACATGTCATTTAATCTACAGGTATCACACCACTTTATGACGCCGCGAGTAACGGACATTTAGAAGTTGTACAACTACTCCTTGAGAAAGGCGCTATACCAACACTCAAGACAGATTTTGGCGAAACCCCGTCGCAGGTTTTACAAAAATGGCGAACAGGCACCATCCTTACAAAGGACGAAGAAATACTTTACAATAACATTTGTAATAAAATAAACAATGTGCTAGATAAAACTAGCGAAATCCTAAACAGATCTAAATCCAAAACGCCTGTTAAAACCATACAAGAAAAAACGCCACCGAGTACATCTAAAATGACTAGTAAAATCAAAGATTTGGATAGTCCAAGATTCAAAAGAAGGAATATTATAGATGACGATAGTGATACAGAAATCAATTTATCACAAAATGTAAGAAATCAAACTGCATTCTCAGACGATTCTAATTCGGATGATGAAATCGAACAAAATGATAAAGTATCTGGTGTTAAGGAATATAGAAATGCCATATCTGCTTTAAGAAATAGGGTAACTGATTTACCATCAGTAGGTGTTAAGAATAAGCAAAAATCAGCACTCCTAGATGCCGCTGAAGTTGACGATGACTGGTTAGATGATGATCTAGGAATTATAAACAAAAACAAAAAGAGAAAACTAAGTGATCCATTAGCAACTATACCAATGAAATCAGTAATAGACACTGTCAAGTCGAGTATTGATGAAATAAACAAAATAGAACTTACAAGTACTAATAAAAATAAAAAACCAAAATTGAACGAAGTCGTGGATATTAGTGAGAACAGCTCTGATTCAGATCAATTTGTACGCGATGAGAATGTGAATCCAAAAAACGCGGACATCATGAGAAATCTGTTAAAAGATTTCAATAATAAACCTAAAGACACTAGAGATAGTATGAAGAAGCGCTGGAAACGACAGAGCACGTTATTGAAGGCGGGATTTCAAAGGAAACGAAACGATTCCAGTAACAGCGGCAGCGACACGGAATTCGATAGGCACTCTAGAAGATCATCCACACCTTTAGCGTTCACAAGAAAATCTTCTAATGAAAATTTCGCGTCCAACGACGGTTTTAATTTCATTCAAAACGTTAATCCCAATATAGTACAACCGATGAATGTGATACAACCGATTAAGATCGTTCAGCCGAGTAAAAACGGCAAACCCATGCAGATTTTGCCGCCGGCGGCTGTCAAAGTGAAAGTGGAGGATAAAGTATTCTTGATTTCGTTAAAACTGGACACTATTAACAAATTGACGATTAGCTGGTTAGTGGAAGAAGTCAAATCGCGTTATTATAAGTAAGTTTATTAACATGTATCTAAAGCTACTAGAGTTTGGTTTTTGACCTTGTCTGACGACTTTAACACCCTAGCAGCTACGACTACTATCACTCTTAAGCCAAAATACTTAGAAGTGATTTGTTTTTATTTAACTTTTTTACATACATCGTTTTATTTAACATAAGTTCAACCGGTAAAGAAACCGTCTAACGGCTTCGGTACCTTAAGACATACGTCTTTAAAATCCCCTGCATCTATCCGGCCTGTCGAACAGCATGTCGTGCGTATTACTCTCTAAGTCATTCAAGTACAGAGGTAACATGTACTGCCAGGTACGTTTGCCATACGAATTGCTTGTTAGCGTTATTTCGTACCTGGGTATATAGTGCAGTTTCCTGGTCTAACTCTGTACTTGAGCGACGGAACGTTTTCAATTTCTTCACAAAGTATATAATATAATATTTCACTTTTTTAAAAACTTTCAATACCTTGCAGTACTCAAACATACCCTTCTGAATATGCGAAAACAACACAAGATATATTAGTTAAACTTATTTATTATTTAATTTAACAACATAAACTAAATAACACTGCTTGGTACTAAAACATTTAATTTAGTATTGTCTGTAGTTTACGTAAGTAGTACACACTAAATAAAACATTTGTAACGGTTTTAAACGCTTAGGCGACTTTAAAATAAGTATAGTAGTTAATAAGTTAAATATATGTCAGGGTTAAACTGTTAAAAGTAGGTATTAATTTAAAAACTTAATTTACTATTTTAGACTAACAGGCGTCCGCCCAGTATTCAGTTTGATGACGTCAGATGGCGCTATTTTATGCGAAGACGACCCTCTTAGTCTAGTTTTGTCATCACCAGAACTTAACACTTGTATTAGTAACTGGAAAGCTTCCCCCGCTGAAGAAAGATATTTGGAATGCTGTGATGCTCTAGGAGTCTGTAAGTAGATAGAATACGTCTATTTATAGAAACAAATTAATTTACCGGTTTTTGATCTTCATTGAAGCAAAGATCAATGAAAAATAATGATTCAAAATGGTTACTAGGCCGTAAATTTAACTAGTGAATGTGCATGTTTCCTAAAATTGTTGAGATGTTATATCTTTCTTAATGACAGGAGAGGACAGAGATGCATGGGATTGACTAGATAGGAGTAGCAATACCCTGGGGCATTGCGACTGCGACTCGAGTTTTCGACTATTTAAAGCCAAAGTATGGTTATGGGTATACCTATTTTGGCTTTAGATAGTCGAAAACTACAGACTGGAACCGAAACGCAATTAAACTTCACCGGTTTTCATCTGTTAATGTTGGTTCGTCCTGGAAGGAACCAACATATTTCAAAACCATTAAAAATTTATTAGAAACAATTTCGACCCGGATGGGATCGTACCCACATACTTTGATATGTATCCATACATTGCTACCATTAGACCAACTAGCCCGTCAAAAATTGGAAATATGTCTTATAAATTGAAGCATCAAAATACCTAGTTAATAAAGTTAGTACTCTAGTTTAATAATGTGTAATCAATTTTCAGCACCTTCTGAAGAAATACAACAAGCCGTTGGAAGGAGTCATACAACGAGGCGATTAGCTCTCGGTTCACAAACCTTACCCCCATCACAAATAAGGCCTCTTTTCAGAGCGCTTACCCACCAGAACCACATCACAGCTATCATGATACCGAATAACAAAATAAACAATGAGTCCATTAAATATTTGACAGACAGCATATCAACGATGAAGCACTTGACCCTTCTGGATCTTAGCAGGAATAATATAAGCTGTGACGGTGTAAGGTTTTTACTAAATTCCTTCGAGAAATCTAACCGAACCTGTAATTCTATAGAAGACATAGATCTGAGCCACAATCCCATTTCTGATGATGGATTCAAATGTCTTCTTAAGCTTAGCAAGTATTTAAGGCTAAAATCGTTAAGAGTCAACAACTGTGATATTACAGAGAACGCGTTTCAAGATGTCAGTACGTCACAAATCAATTTTGATACATTAGAAGTTTTAGATATTAGTCATAATGAATTAAAAATAGTAGTGATTAGTAATTTGATGACAATTCTTAATCCAAATGTGATGGTTGATTTGATATTGGATAATGTGTGTGTGGAAGGGAATGTAGTGGGGTGTTTAGCTAGCTTTATGGATACGGCTAAGGAATTGAAATTGAGGCGGTTCAGTCTATCCGCTTGCAAGTTGGCAGATGGACAGTTTATGAGGATTTTTAGGTAAGCTGGATGACAGTATTAGTTATTTGCATAATATTTAACTTTGAAATATATAATGGTATAAAACAATCCATATTAACAATTAAGAAAAATTATTATATTGTGCTCAAAATATATCAGATTGAGTAGTTTATCAGAGTCTGTAGTTTACGTGACTGATACACGTTCAAATAAAATACTTTTAATGGTTTAAAACGCGAAATGTATTACCTAACTGGACTAAGACAGTTCTGCAAGGGCGAAGACAGTGTTGCCAAATAACTAACGGAACAACGCCGGAACAGATGGCGCTAGTGTACACTTTTTTTTATTCGGGACACCGTCCTTTTTAAGATCCTCGTGATGACGGCTGCTGAAAAGCATTCAAAACGTCGGGCCCTAGTTAAAATACATATTAAGTTTATAGTTCACCGTTCAACCGTTAAAAGTGTCTTATTTAAATTGATTCATTTAAAAAATAACGTCACATATCAGTTAATTCTTAAATATCGAATCTAAATCTAAGTCTTAATAAAGCGTTACAAAAGATAAACATAGCCATGAAATAAGTACGAGTCTACTAATAATAATTCCTACATTCCAGATGTCTCGGCAGAGCCAAGAACCTACAAAGTGTCACATTGAAAGACAACCTCCTCACATTCATAACTCTTAAGAAATTACTCCAGCGGCAACCGCCCGTCCCACAGATCAACCTCGAGGGCTGTCAAGACATATTTAAGTATTCACCAGACTCCGATTTTCAAGTATGGCTACCGGCTATAGATTTCGGTAGATGTATCCCAGAAATAAATGTCACACCAGTCTCAAAGTCTGATGAGGAACGGGAAAGCTTTAAATTATTCTCCAAAACATGGCTAAACTGTTTTAAAGGGCGCGGTGTTATTGAACATGGTGATGGCGGTGTAATAAAATTCACAGCTAGGTGACTGTCATGAGCCATTCCGTGCCAATTGTTGACTTCAGAAAATAGGCTTATTATAACTAGGTATAAGTATTATATACTATAAATTTGATACGAAAACAAACAGTTACAAGTTACTCTACCGACATGAACTGATAATTATGGAACGAATGTTAGGTCAAGATAATTGTAAATAATGATATATGAGTGTGCATTGAATTTAATTAAATTTTTCGACAATAAAGAAGTTTTAAAAAGTTATCTACCTTTAATTTATGGTTTTATACATGGATTTATCTTAAATTGTTTGTAAGTCAAATTTTCCAATACCAGTTAAGAGATAGTTTTTATTGATAAATAAACAGACACGATGATTATTTATAATCTATTTGAGAGTATTTTTAAAATAATGTATAACAAAAAAGTATCTCATTAATAGCCCGATAAACAAGTCTTTAAAACCATAATTAAGAATAAATCAAATTAAAAAACCTCTTTTCTTAAAGCAGGTTAAAAGAGTTTTTAATTTTCGCGGGAAGCAATGGCACTATATACATATTACATAGACTATTGTTATTATGTTAGACTTGCACCCATTTTATTATCTACTAGGTTCTATCTAGGTTTTTACTACATCTGTGGTTAGATAAAATCAAATATGTCAATTGTCAAAAACATGCTCATTTGCCAAATAACCTAGAAAAACAATATAAACTCTCGTATTGTTTATAATAGTTGAAGTGTGAAGAGGTATTTTAAAATTCATTAAAATTTTGATTATAAACAACAAAAATGGCTGAGCTAGTCAACCAACGTATTGAGGGCATGATAAATGAGCTGGAGCAAATGCGACGTGTTGAACTATATGACGATGAAGAAATAAGGTAAGTACTTATTGTAAACTATAACTATTACTTTTAACATGTAGTAGGTAAGTTCAATTCATATTAAGTCCAGGAGTGCTAGTTTATTGCAAGGTAGATCAATCTGCAGTGTGATGCAGCTTGTGTGTTAACTTTTAGGGGTAACCTTACGATCTTTTATTTATTTTTCCAGAGATATCTCAAGAAAGCGCAAAGAATTCGAGTATAGGATCCAAAGGCGAATCAAAGAAAAGGATGATTTTGTTCAGTATATTGCCTACGAATTGGCTCTGTTGGAGGATATATCTTTGCGTAGAAAACAAGCAAAGATGTTCAACAAACGTCAAGATATAGAGTATGCTATAGCTAAACGTGTAAATAAAGTTTTCAAACAATTTATAATGAGATATCAAAATGATGTTCAAATATATTTTGAATATATTAAATTCTGCAAAAGTGTCAACTTTGAGTATGCTATTTCAAGTATTATACATCAAATGTTACAAGTAAGTAATATTTTTAATTATAAACCACATGTACTAAAATCTTTCGGTGTGGCGGTTAATTGTTACTTTATTCCCAACTATAGTAAAGAATGCAGAACCATTAAGTGCGTAAATCACTTCACTAATGAAATCATAAAGAAATAGGAACAAAAATTCCTTACTTATTTTAGGTACATGGCGACAAACCAAAAACATGGCAGCTTGCAAGTTTGTTTGAAAGTAAAGAAAAGAAAAATCTAGACACTGCTCGTAGTTTCCTTCTAAAAGGAATTCACAGACATCCTGAGGCAGAGGTTTTGTATCTAGAATTATTTGAAATCGAACTTAAACTTTCTGGTACTGCCAATGATGAGGAAAAGGTATTTGTTAAAATGGATATTTATTAAGAGCTCATGTGTTTTTAATTTATTAAAAAATCAGAAGTAACTTAAAAATACAATTCTAGGAAAAATATTTAAAAAGAGCCGAAGTAGTATGGATGAATGGTATGAAGAATGTTCCCAATCTCAGCTTCTTGTTCAAAATTTGTGATCTATCTCTGAAGTATAATAATGGTGCACTTACCAATTCCATCAAGGAGGAAGTATGGAGTAAAAGAAACCACAAAGAAGTGTGGTCTTATATTGCGTCTAAGGAACTAGAGGTGAGTTTAACAAATACAATTATAACGGACTAATCCTTTTTTACAACTAATGTCACATTTATTTTTGGAAACTTAGTTGTTAAACTCCAGTACATATTTTGTCACATATACAGAGTGACCCAAGAAGTAGTGTCAAGCGGTGGTCCTAAGATAGAACACCCCTTGGAGCATCCGAAACACCCCTATGTATGTTCTGCAATTACTTATAGCTTTCGTTTTTAAAAATTAACTTCAAGAATGCACAAAAAACAACCTCATTGCCAAATGGCTATTTATTACATTTTTACGCCTATCTGTCTCTGAGGTCGGGTATTAGCAAAAGTAGCTTATTATGTGTGTTCAAGGCGTGTTCTATCTTGGGACCACCGCTTGACACTACTTCTTGGGACACCTGTATAATACCATATAATTTAAAATGAGTTAAATATTTTTAGGGCTATCATTGGAGAGAAATAGATGAGTTTGTGGATGATGAAAACCAATTTTCCAAGGAGCTAAATCATTTCACAACTGTTTATGAGGAGGCTTTGCAACAGGTGAATTAGTTTACTCCTACATATATCTGAATTATTGTCCCCGAATTACTTAAGAAATAGTTACGTAATATATATACAGGGTGTAAATAGACAATATACATACAAGTCCGGTACATTTTGTGACCACGACATCAGTTATTCAGTATTCAATATCTTTATCTTTCACAACTTAATTTTAACATAATAATACGATCTAAGTGTAAGTTTTTTGTTAAGTTCCTTGTTCGTTTGCTGTATTTTAACATGACATGTATGTATTGGTTTTCTTTTCGTCTCGAGACCTTCGAACAAACTTAAAACAATTTGTATCAGGGTAACGTATTGCAATACGCATCAGGGCTGTACGCTGTACATTTCATACTCGTATTTAAAACTTTGAAAAAATTCTTGAATTAAATGAAAATAAATAGCACAATATAACACCTTTTAGCCCCTAATATACGCCCTTATAAGTTTTCAAAACTGTTCCATTTACATTCTGTATAATATGGCTTTCAGGGTTTACTTCTGAAATTACATCTATTAAAGCATTTATGTAGGTAGTAATTTTTCAGTTGTTAATGGATTATGGTCGGTCCATCTTTAATAAATTTTAGTACTTTTAAAAATAATAATTTTCCTACTATATCCAGCTACTCGTATAATGAACATTATCTTTTATAGTTCCCAGATGAAAAACTCTGTACACAATATATACACCATTTACTAGGTTTGAATGACTGCATATGTACAGAAAATCAAAAAATCCATGCTGTAAAACAAGCTTGGATGTATGGACATGAAAATGGATTATTATCAAATGACATGTATGCTTTTGGCATATCTTTCATGAAGTTAGAAAAGGAAGACTATTCTCAGGTATATATAATCTTATCTCTACATATCTAAAAGTATTGAGGTTATATGGCTATATTTAAACCTATGTTGGTTTTATCTAAACAGAGTATTTTGGAAAGATTTCTGAAAATGATTTTCCAGAAACCATTTCATATAAGAACATATATATGCACAGAGTTTGACTTACAAATGTTTTAACTTTACGATCAACATTTAGTTTATATATTATGTAAGGCAATAGACATTACAGACAATTAAATTGAAGTTTGAAATATTTTCTGTTTAGATTATCGATACAGCCGTCGAAAAAAATCCTAAGCACAAATTTCTATGGCAAGAAAAATTGTTGCTAAATAAACGTAATGAAAATGTCATCCTGTCCGTTCTGCAACAAGCCAGTAAAACATTAAAGGATCAGGATTTGTTGTACCTGTGGAATTTTATGTTAGATAATGTGGAGAATGATGTTGTTGTAAGTTTTCTTTAATTTGAATTTCTTTAATTAGTTATTTTCAGTTTAAAATTTAATTATACTATTTAACTATTTCTGTAAAGTGAGAATAGTAAATTACAGATTCATTCATTCCCTTGATGAGAAAGCAGAATCAAAAACTTAATAATAACATACCTACATATTTTGTTTCAGTTAAAAAATGTATACAAAAAATTTCAATCTTGTGAAAGCATTACTGTACTCTCGTTAAAACCAAAATTGTTGCAAAAAATCTATGAGCATAACGGTTTAAAGACTGCCAGAGAATCTTATGAGGACTTCATCAAAACACCACCCACACAAGTGGAATTACATAAAGCTATGATTGAAATAGAAATGTCCCAAGAAAAACCCAATTTGAAATGTGCTAGGAAATGTTACGAGTGCTTAGTCCAACATCATGGCAAGGAAAATATTGATATCTGGTTGGATTACATTAAGTTTGAATCTAGCAATGGTGGTGCAAAAGCGGTTCCCCAAGTTCATAGACGAGCCGTAGCAACTTTGAAGGCAGATCTAGTTGATGGTTTCGTAAAAGCACAAACTCTATCTAGATTACAATGAACTTTATTTAGTGGCTCCTAATCTAAATGTTATTTTTTTATAATTAATTAAAAAGGTTAAGGAACAAAATGTTTATTTAAATATAGTAACACCTTTACTCAACAATTAAAAGAAGAATCCACATTGCACACTGTTTATTAATACTAATTATTTACATTTCACAAATGTACACATTTCTCTACAAGAGGTTTAAAGAATCTACTTTGGTGAATGTGGAACAACACTTAGAAATAAACACAGATAAATGCATTTGCTATCACTTGGGTGATTACTTCATCGCTGCGATCGGAGCGATATAGTATCTAAAGATGAGAGAGGAACCTCTCTTGTGCTGCTTATTTCTCACGAGATCCTTCCAGCACGATTGCCACGAAGGATACTTGGGCATAGCAGGTGGATTTCCTGCCTTTAAGCTGCTGCCCACAACAGCCATACAAGTAGACACAACCATCAAAGGATAAGTTAAGGTACTGGTAATAAAAGTGAGCAATGGTACAGTATAGTACCTCAAGTCTTTAGTCTTGACAAGATATTTGTTTACATAGTAGGCCAATACTCCTGTTATTGAGACACAAACTAGATCTCCTAACAACTTCGGTACAATCCCATGGAAGAATCCAAGGACGCCATCATCTCTGTATATGGAAACGATAGCTCCTATTAACGTACTGTAATCCTCTTCTTTACCGACGAAGGACGCCATCATTCTAACAGTGACCACATGGAAAGGGTATGATACAACAACGGAGGCAGTGTGCATAATCATGTCGCGGCGAGCGAGCTTGTAGTAGTCCTCGAATTTTGGTTCATCGTCAGTCACAATGTTAGGCGGATCGTTGATTTCAGGAAGGTCAATACCACAAGCATAAATCACCTTCGAGGATAGTTGACTGGAAGCGACGAGGCCGAGCACTCTCGCCGACAAGCCGCGGTAACACCCAAAGAAACCATCTGACTTCTTAATGTGCTTTATGTATTGAAAAACATTAGGTAATATCATAGCAGGCCTACCGAACAGAGTCGTGGAGCGGCGCGGTGGCAAAGGTTCGTATCCCAGCTGAATGAGAACCTTCGCATATTCCATAGGATGGCATATTGTATTGACTAGTAACTGGGACGGTAGGGCCGCTATCTTTTCTTTTTCAATTTCGTCCATGTTGTGACAACTTCACGAAATAATAGTATCGAATTTTTCGGAAATCAAAATTTGACAGACGGCCTACCATAGACAAGTGACAATCACTACAGATGAAAGTGCTAAATCTATAGATTGTGATCACAAGTTTAACAGATAATGCGAAATACAGACAATAAACAACCGACTGAAAAGTCGGTTACTTTGGAATTAAGTTGTTTAATCATTCTTTATACCCTTTTGCTTAATAAAATAATTTCAAGGCATAACTTAAATTATAAATTGGTAATAAGAAACCAGTTTGAATAACATCGTATATTTCTTTTACGCATTTGTTATTAATTCAATAGCCGTTTCTTCTTCAATCTTATTGGGTAGTTGAGTTAATGAAGTGGGGATATCCTTTGAAGTCGACTCCACCTCTTCTTCATTCTGGTGAAATAAAAAGAGATTATTATGGTAAGGCGTTGTCAATTTTTCATTACATTTAGTATGCCGTAGTATTTTGAGATATTAATATTTTTGGAGTCATAATAGAGTGTGGGAAATTTACAAGTATGTTATAATTAACAACAATAAAAATAGATTACTTATCGGTAATTTAGTGGCACAGTTGTCCTACGGCCACGGATATAAGGAGGGTTCTTTCGTACCTCATCGTTCAAAAGAGTAAAAAAGGGTTTTCAACATTTTTAGTTAAACTGTTCTTGTGTCTTTCTATAATTTTCAAGGCCAATATAAGTTAAAGCTATAACCGGTAAAGGTTCCGATTCCTTCTTTATGTGCAGGGGCGACGGTAGCTACAGCTTTAATCTATTATTTTTAAACATTCTTAAAAGACGTTGAAATTTACCTCACTGTCTTCCGGTATTTCTCCGATATTGGAGTGATCATCGGAACTTTCATCATCAGCGTCCTCACTTTCGGATGGCTCATCTTTTTCTTCCAGCGCGACCCAGGCTATGTCTTTGTCTACCATATCTGAAAAAAGCAAACGCGATATCGTGGGAGTTTTGCAAATTGAAAATATAATCCTTATCACTATTTTGGAAATATGAATATATTATGAAGATGATAAATAATTTATTATATTTGTTATCAACACTTCACTCATACGAAGGTCTGTTGTTACCTCTAAACCTCAAGGACCCTCTCCTACTAGGCGGTTTCTCTTCGTTCGACTCCACAATAATAGTCGGCACAACATCTATTACGACGCCATTCGATTTCTTCTCGTTTTCCTTGTCAATCTCTTCTTTTATCTGAAAAATAGGAGAACGCATAAAAGAGTCATTTGTATAATTGTGTGTGACAATGTATTTTTTGTATAATACTTTGCCAGTCGAGATTTCAAATTTATCGATTAATAAATTTAAGAAAGTTATAAAACTTAGATTGTCTGAAAAGGCGTATTATTGTCTGAACGATTTCTTTAATGACAAGACCGCCTGGCATTAATATGAATTGCTCCTGTTAATAAATTTACAAAAATACATTACTTATAAGACATATTATTAAGAAAGCTGGACTGAGTTTCTTGGGTGTTCTCCTCAGTTATGTACTTTTGAATACTGTAAAATCACGACAAACAGACAGACAAAAGAAAAAGAATTTTGACGAATCTAATTTTTTTTTAATTTTAAAGATAGAAAGTATATTTTATTTTCCTTAAAAAAAGAAAGAAATACTCAGGATTCTATTCCCAAAGTCTTTTTTTACTCAGATACCTGTAGAAATGACACACTGGGTTCCTGTAGTTTTGTCGCCTTTTCCTTATTCTTGAGTATGTTGTCATCTGTTTCCTTTTCTAAGCGCATTTTGTAGGCTTTTTGGGTACGCCACATCTACAAAAAGGAAACCTTTTTACTTACTGGCTCATCCGACATCCTTCGCTCATGATCTAGTACTAGTAAAAGTAGTAAGTAGGTCTTGTATAGATGTCATAAATCTATACTAATTTAGAATCAAATAATCTAAAAGTCTAGACAAAGATAGACAACATTGCCTATTTTAGATTTATATTAATGATAACAGTTTTATGCCCAAGAGAAATCATTTCTAGTATTTTTTTATTATTTCGCAGACATAAAATGTAGTAAACGCTCACATGAGATGCACAATAGCACAGGCAACAAACGAAGATAACAATCAGCGCTATGAAGATCCTGTCTGTGCTCTCCTCTTCAGCGTCAGGCTGAGTGTGCAACGAGTCGAAAGGCACCCTCGAGGGGGGATCTTCCACCCACGTTTTGTCTACACTCTGGAAGTTATAAAAAAGCTAAAATAATAAAAGTGCCTTACAACCTACATAGGAATGTGATCTATATCTATGCTAATATATAAAGCTGAAGAGTTTGTTTGTTTGAACGCGATAATCTTAGGAACTACTGGTTCGAGTTGAAAAATGATTTTTGTGTTAGAGCATTCATCGAGGAAGACTATAGGCTATAAAACAACTGACTAATAGGAGCGAACAGCGGGAAATGTGGAAAAACGGGAAAAATTATTCATATTTGTACGTTTCCGATGAGTACGCTGCGAAAACGGTTCGAAATACCCAGAAGACATGTATTTTAAATGATCTAAAAAAGGCGAACTTTTAAGATTAACTTGCGAGAACGACGTGAAGGAACGCGACCGACATAGTGGGCTTAAGATGAAGAATTTTGCAAAATAAAGGTCGCTGATATAGTAGTACAGAATATAAAATTAAATAACCGAAAAATTTAAAAATGCGAAATATAGTTGTTATACTTGTTTAGATATTATTTTTAAATAGGTTAGACGCTTCGGATTCTTTGCAGCAGCCGTGGTCACGGGAAGTCCAAAGATTGAGGGTGTTAAAGTAAAAAAGTTCTGTCGTAGTTGGTTTTTGTAAACAACTAACAAGTTAACCTAAAATATATCGTGTTTCAAACCGTTTAAGTGTTTTATTTGAATGTGTTGTTAATTATGTGTGTGTGTGTAATTAATATGTCAATAATAAAACATTGGAAGACTAATGTTTAAGGAATAACATAACAAACTACGGCGTGCGTTTAGGTTATAAATCCTGTCTGAGTAAAAGAATTATAGAGATTAAAGGGAAAATGCACTTACAATAAGAAAACTGCCATTGTGCGTTGCCCCCAACTGGTCGTGTTCAGGCCAAGCCTCATCAAAATCTGCTGAGCACTGCGCGCTCCTTACACCCTGAGCGTTCACAGCATTCACTGTCTCCGAGTCAGATCGGGTGAACAGCATATACTCTTCTAGGGGTTTCATCTCATAATCATTTATCTGTACTAAGATATCTGGAAATGCAAAGTTTACTTGAACATCATAAGTATTAATATATAAATCTATGCTAATATTATATAGTTGAAGTGTTTGTTTGTCTTTTAAATGCGCTTATCTCGGAACCGCTGGATCGAATTGAAAAATTATTTTTGTATCGGTTGGAGCATGTATCGAGGAAGGCTTTAGGCTAAAACGTCAGGCGACCAATCGGAGCGCAGAAAAATATGCGAGACAGATTCCTTCTTCTTTAAATAATGTAAAAAATTGTCCGGGGCAATTTTTTAAGATCACCAGAACTGTTTTTATGGTAACCAAATTTGATAGAACTACTGCATGTGGCAAAGAGCGTAAGCCAGATCAGCGAGTATTGTATATTCAGTAATAAAGACTATTTCGACTTTGGACGTTCGGAAATTTACAGTCTGAGGCCAAAACGCGGATTAACATTGCACGGAAATCTATCTACTTCATAAAATAGTGTACTTACTAGACAGACATCCATTATAACCCTTGTAGATCTTCAATCTCGGATCGGATGTATTGAGTCCCCCGATTTGCACTTCGTTGCGTCCAATATCGATTACCTCCCACAATCCCTGTGGGGGTAGTTTCTCTAAGGGGATCTCGATTCTGTCTATTAGTAGTTTAGTCTCGTTTTCGATACGAGTGTAGTAAACTGTGTGACGGGCTCCTAAATGTAAACACGTAAGGACGAGTTTGTAATATTTTTAAAATTGTAATATTTATTATATGTTAAATGTATAAGTTTTGATGCGTCATAGCTATTTTAATATATTTAAATAAAACACTTTAACGGTTTAAAACGCGATATATTAGTTAAACTTATTTGAAAATGATTTTTAACTTCGGCCCGACGTTTCGGATGCTTTGCAGCAACCGTGGAACGGGGAATATATCGCGTTTTAAACCGTTAAAGTGTTTTATTTAAATGTGTACTACTCGCGTAAACTATAGACAGTATCTATTTTAATCTATTCAATCAAATGACCTGTAATGGTCAAATGTGTTGCCTAGCATTGTATTAAGCACGAGAGGTCCTGGGTCTAAATCCGAGGGTACTAAAAGATGGTGTCGGTCGGGCAGAGCCCAGAAGTCTGATAAACGACTTGCCTGTAAATAAAAATCGGACACAGAAATGTGTTCGCCCGCTACCCTATGAAAACGGAATTTCACTTTTATTCAATCAAAAAAAGCCTTTCTTGACGTATAACGAAACTTAGTATAGATGATAAGCAACTTATTTCCATTTGTAATTTTAATGTGTACTTTAAAATTTTATATTTGAGAGAGATATTTGAAAAATGTACTTTTATTAGATATAAGTAACCCGTTCAAACATTTTTTTAATTAACATCTTTATTATAAAGGTTTACACTTGCCGTTTAAAAAGTTCCTATTCTTGACTTCGGCGCCATAAGCCGAATCTTCGCGGTCTTCTTCAAACTTCAAATAACCATCCTGTGTTATGGCTACTAGCAAGTAATAACTGCGTCTGAAAATCATTTTTTCATTTTAGACACGAGTAGAGTTAGAGTTACATTTAATATCCAGGGAATCCGAAATGTTTGAGAGAAAGACATCGTCAGGCTCGGACATAGTACATGTTAGCTTTTCGAAAAATGGTGAAAAGACTGGAGGTACCCATCTTTTATTAATTGTCTCTAACATGTGTAAAAGCTTTATAGCTTACTTGTTTTCGGTTTGCACCAGAAGAAGCACCGTGTTCTTTTGACGAAGATCGTTGCTTGAAAACGCCAGTTTTATTTTTACCTAAAGCAAACGAAGCAAATAAAACAACGAATATTACAATACAAAAAATAACTTACTGCAGAACATCTGTGGAAATATTTAAATATCTAATCAAATCTGAACAAAAGAGTAGTCTCTCTACTCTGACCATTTTAATTACTATAGAAATTGCTACTTTCAAAATTTATCTTATTTAATTACTTTAACTGATTAAAACCTGATAATATATTATAGTTAAAATGTAATATCCCCTAATCGTAGTTTGAAATAGTACTTTGGTATGAAATTTGTTGAATAATGTTCCTTTATATTATATTTCGTCTGTGTGTATATAAATATTTTATTTAACCTTGTTAATGGTCTGTGGCAAAACAAATTTCCTTTCAAGTATGCTCTCCCCGTTGAAGTCAGCCCCCTTTTCCTCCATGCAGTACTCCCCGAAGTAGCTCGTGAGGTCGCAGTCACAGCTGCTTTCCTGATTGGTGAAGTCTTCGGTGCATATTCCGCCATTTTTACATGGCTCCGAGTCACACTTCATATTGCATTCTGGTAAAACGCCTGTTAGTTCTGTAATGTTAAAATTATATACAGGCTGTTTGGACGGCGAGTAGCTATCGGAAAATGGTCGAAAACTGATGGTGTTGACTACGTGTTGCGCCTTATTCAATACAAAGTTGCCTTAAGTTATAATTTCTATTATTTTGGAATAATCGAATATATTGTTTATTTATCATTTAAATGTTAAACAGATTCAGTCCAGTCTTGTCTCGTTTATTATTCATCAGAATTTCATACCGACATTTTAAAAAGAAATAACAGCGAGGTATCAAACATTCATTAATCAAATAATATAACCCTTATCATCTCTACGCAGTATAAAATTAATTAAGTTTAACTTATTTTAATACCCTTAGAGTTAAAAACGGGAATTTTGTTTTGATGATGCTAATTCTAGACTACCTTGTTCAATATTCTGCTGTGCCTTCATCGGCAGGTCAACCACGTGGTCTGCGATTTTGAATCCCCTGACACATCCCACGTAACCCCCTTGCGGTAGAACCTCAGCCCGTTGAGCCAGGTGTAAGGAATACGGGTCGTAACCACCAAGGTTCATTTGGAAATAGTCTGTAGGTGGCGCTGGTGGTCTTTGGGGACGTATCACCTCTTGAAACAAAAGCACGTCTTTAATACTAAGCGTTACATCGATACTGTAATAAAATACTTTATCGGTTTAAAACGCGATATACACTAGTTAAATATGTATGAAAATTATTTTAACGGTTCGACGTTTCGGATGCTTTGCAGCAGCCGTGGTCACGGGGAGACAAATCAAATAAGTTTAACTAATATATCGCGTTTTAAACAGTTAAAGTGTTTTATTTAAACGTGTTCTACTCGCGTAAACTACAGACAGTATTTAAGCTGTGTGTGTGTTTGACACAAGCTTCTGATATGTTTTTATACTAGCTATTGCTGTGGCTTTATTTACGTCATTTGACTCGGTATCGACAGTCACACTAAGAGATTAAAGCTAAAGCCACTAAAAGTCCCAAAGCCACATTTAACCTTATAAACTTAACCACATTAGATTACATAAGTACTTAAAATTATATTACTATGCAGTGTTTTATGTTGCTTAAAATAGACTCTCTATGTATAATGAACACATTAAAATATCGCAAAAAGATTATATAAATTATGTAGCCACAGTGCACAGCGGAAGGATGATAGTATATTAAGAAATCTTGATTTATTACGAATCGTGACGCTCATTAACTCTTAATTTAATATTTTTCTATTTGATAAACGTAGGAAGTAAAGATACAATATTTTTTTATCACTAGCTTTTGAGAAAGTTAATAAAGATTATATGAGACCGCTAGAGGCAGAAGAGCCTAACTGCAATTTTATGACTTGACTTATATTCATATACTCTAAAAATGTTAATCTACAAGAGCACAGTGACCGAAAATAAAAAAAAAATTATAGGACAAATTCATTTTCGCCTATATTGCGCATTTTTATTTTCCTCCTTATTGAAAATAATAATTTTTTATTAGGCCACTCTGCCTTTAGCAGCCTAACATTTTCTCGCGGGTTATAATAAAGAAGCATCCATTTAGTAGGTACCTAATAGTTAACACAACAGGATCAGAAGGCAGAGAAAGCACCAAAGAAATACGAAAGATAAAATAGATTTCTATGTTTTTATAAGTAACTTTCAAATGTTTATAGATTCTTTGTTTCCAGTGAATTTATGATAAGTATGTATAAATAATTAGTTGCTTTTTAGTGATAAATCTAATTTTGAACTTCTATTTTAAATAGGGTAATAATTCTAGAATAGTGTTGTGCCGTTTTAGAGAGAAATAATGTTGAAAATTTAAAATTTTCACATGTAATAACATGTAAAAATCGATTGTCTTGATCGTGTTGTCTAAAATCGATTTTCAATTTTATAAATTAATAAAATTAAAAATCGATTTTAGATTCAATAAATGACCAAAGATTTTCAATTAGTAAGTAAACATATAAATGAATTGAAATGTGAATATAAATAGGTTGAAATTAAAAAAATCTTACCCAATTCCGGATTCTTCCAAGGCTTATTAGTATAATTAGATAAAAGCTTTGCAACTTTATCGATCGTCGTATTTTTATCATTCACGTGCAGAGTCGTCGCGTTTTCAGTCCTTATTATAGCGATTTGCACACTTTCCCCTTTATTAATTCTCTCATACGTCACGTTCATTTGTATTATTTCGTCTTCGTGGTTGAATAAATAAATAATTTCCGTTCCATTATTTATGAATAGATGTATGAAGTTATTTAAATTGTCATTCGCGTAAAGAACTAGGGCGTTGTCGTCGTATGTTCTTAGGTTCATTAGGACATTCTCGACCATCATTTTCTTGAGTCTGACCTTTTCTGCGTTTGTTTCATTGTCTACTAGGTAATTTTTCTTCAAATATGCCTCCCTTGTTTGGAATGTTAGTGCTTTTTCGTTAATATCTACAACAATATCACAAACATGTATTAAAAAAATGTTGACAAACGCGTACAATATACAAATGCGATTATAGAATAGCGTAGGCTGTAGGTATAGTTACTAGGTTCAAATCGTCTTTCGATCTTTATTTACATATGTTTGATCCAAACATTATAATATCAATGTTTGTCATAACATAATATTACGTAAACATCCAAATAAATCAATGTTTTTTTCCAAAGATTAAAAATGTTATTGTGTGTAATTAACGCGAGCGGCACACATTTGAATAAAACACTTTAACGGTTTACAATGGGATAAATATTAGTTAAAGTTATCTGAAAATGATTTTTACCACCACCCGACGTTTCGGATGGTTTGCAGCAGCCGTGGTCACGGGGAGGCTCTTTAGTCTTATAGGTGTTAAAATTTAAATATTAAAAGTGTCTCTTTTAAAGACACAATTTAAATGATAGAAACAAATAGAATAGACTCTTTGTTTGTTTTTTAGGAAGAAATACTCACTTTCCTCGCAATGGACTCCCAAATGCGCCCACCGATTCTTGCAAATACATTCATAAGTGGACCAAAGCTCCTTGCAAATTGCCTTGTTCTGACAAGGGTTTGGTACACAGGACGGCTTACAGTCCTTTATAATTTCAGACAAGTGGACGGACATATAACTGTAGATGTCTAGAATCTCCCCGTTGACAACCAAACCTCTGAAGCAACCGATAAGGCCCTGATTCACGGCCGACTTCTTCAGGTGCTCACTGAAAATTTCTCTACGATGAACTAATCTTTGTTAATATTCAGATCAAGTTCTTAAAAATAATATCTTAATTATGAGTATGTTTTTTTTCATGATAGAGAAGGATAAACAAGGGTTCGCTCAATGGTAGGTAAAATACCCTAGCCGACCTAAAGACCGACCGATAGACCTGTTTTAATTTTGAAGAAGACTGAAACAGATACGCGATTAATTTCGCGTTTTTTATCTGTGGACGGTGTTTCGTGACCCAGACGGAATTAAGATATTCCTGTAACAAATTTAATATACAGATTTCGAGATGAAGTTGAACATGTTTTAGAAAATTGATTAAAAAATGTTGGACTCGGGCATCGAACTCACGAACCTTTGATTATGCATACATTGCTAACATTACTCCAACGAGCTCGTCAAATGTATTACAAACTTTATTTAATACTTCACTAATATTATATTGTTAATGGAATCTAGACTTCTGTATTGTTTGCTTATAGCGCCATCTTGCATAGAAGCTTTACACTAAAATAAAACTGCTGTGTTTCAAGTAGTTAAAGCAACGCTATCAGTTTTATGTTTTACAATAATAATAAGCAATTTATCTTGACGACGTAATAGAAATAAATATTTTTACCAATTTCATATTTGGCAGAACTCATATATTTTAGGCTTTATAGACTTCGGAATGGATTTAAAAAGGAATATTTTAATAAATTGGACTAGAACTTACGCAGTTGCACCTCCAATGAACATAGAACCTTCAAAAGGACCAAACTCTTCTTCTAGTAAGAGATTCAACATTTGGTACTCAGTGTTTAGCATAAATCTGACATGATAAAAGTTATAATCAATCCAGATTTTATGCCATTCCCCGCCATTTAACTTCCTTTTAGAATTGATTACTAATTTCCTGGTAGTCCCCGTGTTTAGAGTAAAATTGAATGTCAGCTCGTGTTCTAAAAAATTGTTTTTGAATATATATTTTGTACTGTTTTAATATAGCTACAATAATATATGTAAGTCTATAATAAGCAATAACTAATAAAACCGCGCCGATAATTAAAGTGTTTGAAAGGTTGACAGTAAGACGGATTTCCTTAACGCGTTATTAGTTTTGAAAGTAATATATGAATAGAGTGTTATATTATGAATTGTTCTTTATTGTTAATCTTTAATTAACAGATGACACGTTTTTTTACAATATCGCTAAAAATATCCCTTTAGTATCACAGATTTATGTAGAATAGCTGGTATATGCAAAGTAACGAAGTTTACGCGAGAAATAAAACAAAATGAACTCATTTTAAATCTAACTAACTATAATAAATAACAATATATATTTTTTGTGAACCAAAAAACGATTTTTGCAAATCAAAGATATTTTAGCAAAATCCATTTTTACTATTACTCATTACTATCACATCTAGATAAATGATACTTGAAGTTTACCTTGTACACTGTACACAGGGAATTAATAAATATCACTTCAGATATATTAAACCATTTTTGGTTGAAGTTATTAGATTAAAGAGTTTTCGATTTGTTATAAGGGGGACGGCGCGTACGCAGTCCCCACTACCAAAAATTACGCGTCCGAGTTATCCACATTAGGGATAATCGCAGAGGTCAACCCAACCGCAGTGCAATGGAAGAGTCTCGCTCTGGGGGAACCGCCTTTCTGATCACGGTATCCCCTACGCCAGGTAAGTATGATTTGAATTCAGCGTTTAAACTCTTTATATAAGCAAGAGAAAACTTTAAGAGCGCGATTCAGAATAATCCCTAGCCTTTGCAGCGCCATCTATCGTGTACTCACCGCTAGTTAGAGCGACCATAAACGAAGGATAGTTGGGACGTATCGGTGGTTGGAATAATAATATAGCACTGGTGCCAGTTGTCCTGAAACTGAAGGCGATATCTCCTTTCCTCCAACCAGGAACTTCTATGTACGATTGCGAAGTGGTAAATGTCACTACGTAGCGTTGAGTATCTGAGGGTAAAATAGTTGTAGTAAATTAGAAATCTACTGTTTCAAACATTGCAAGATAATAATTCTATTTTCAGGTATTGACAAACTGCCAAGTTTTGATATTTGGAGACTCGAACAATATGAATCTTTATCGTATTAAAATAGGTAATTATGTACATTATGGAAAAGCTAGCTATAAAAGGATGCCTGCCACAAGTAGTATTTCATAGGGATTCTGAATTAAAACTTGATATATGTATAGTAGTTATCTATAATTTCGTTTTTATTCTATACCATAAACGAATGCCATGTAATTTGAATTGAAAAATGTGCTTATTAAAGAAAAACAATTTTTTATTGTATTGTAGCGGAGCTTGGATTAATATCGAATTGTAACGAAGTGACAGTAACAAATTTCTAATAGGTACTCACTAGTTTCAACACATTCCAGCGGACCTAACGTTATTCTACCCTGTGCTTCCTCAGTCAAGTCTTTCTGCTGTAGGAAGAACATCTCAGTAATACCCAAGCTTTTAGGGTCCACTAAAGTCCCTTCGTCAGAATGCCATTTGTTCTCATTAGCATCACAATTGCACGATTGTGTTGGGTTGACACACGTCGCATTCACCCCACAGGGGCAGTATCCTCTGTAAATTATTTTTTTCAAGTATATTAAATTTGACTTTATCTAGACGATTGGGTATAATAATGATCCCCGTTTTTTACACTTAACCCTCTCTTCCTTCGCTTCCATTTGTTACAACGTAATATTATAAAGCTTAAATAATGCCTTCCTCAATAAGTAATCTATCAGACACAGCAGTATTTTTTAAATTAAAAGACTCTTGAGATTAGAGCGTCCAAAAAAACAAACGAACTATTTAACATTATAACATCATCTAGCTGTACCAGCGACTTCGTCCGCGTAGAATAGTTATTTTGGACATCCAAATTTGTTTTTGCAACCTCCTCTTCATTAAAGTAAGCTTTTATCCACCACATCGGTCCCGTTGTTCTTGCAAGCTAATCATAAAAAACAGACACATAGTGTCGAGGATTTTTATTTCTAGTTTCTTCGCTCCTATTACTCACAGCGTCTTCCTCGATAAATGCTCTAATGAACACTAAAAGAATTATCCAATTCGAACCAACCGTATCTGAGATTAGCGCAGTTTTATATATTAGTATTGTAAAGAGTACTGTTCATTTTATTTTTATTTTACATTAAATTAATAATAAAGTAACTTAATGTTATGTGTCTATAAAAATAGATAACTACACTTTTGCTGTAAAAGATTTCACTTAGACGTCTATTAATTTGTAAGCGAACCGAAGTGGATGAAACCTAAAAATCGACGATCAAATAATTCCGAAAAAGCTCCTTTTGATATCCTAATCTCTCCCTAAAAATCTCAGTTACATCGTCCCAAAAGCGAATATATTGTAAACTTTTAATTTAGATGATAGCTTTCGAAGACCTTTTAACTTAAGCCCTCGCTTTAGTAGCTGACATAATGAGAACGTTAAGTGATTAAAACACGGATAGCGGCTCAATACGTTTTGAGCAATTATTTTGACCTTTACAAACCGTTCCAAACAGTTTCAGACTTTAAAGTAAACGACCTCTACTTGCACAAAAACATTCCGATATTTAAGTGATTACAATAAAATTAATTATCTTTCCGTTTGAATTGACACAAACCTTCGCAAAAAGTGTATTGTGTAAACGAAAAGTAATTTGAAGAAATCATTTACGATCGATTGAAAAGTGGACACAAATCACTACATAGTATGAAACAAAGTCGCTTTATCTGTCCCTATGTACACTTCAATCTTTGAAACTACGCAACGGAATTTGATGCGGTTTTTAAAAGTTATTCAAAAGGAAGGTTCACAGTTTATTCAGTACAAGTATAAGCCTGGGCGGGTCGCTAGTTAAAGATAGAATTAAATTGGTCAAACGGTTGTTAATATGTTTGATTATTTCAATGAACATGTAAATTAATATTAATTAGTGGCATCGAGTTATGAACTGGTCAAGTGAAAGATTATCACAATTCCTGGTATAAAAATCCTGTTATTGTCAATTATTTGCTGTAGTGCATGTGTGCGGAAATTTTATACTTATTAGGGTCAAGTAAGAGATTGAGATGACTTTTTCTGTCTTGTTTAATGATTACCGATTATTTTTGTGAGGGTTTTTGGACAGGATTTCTGTTATATAAAACTGAAGAGTTAGTTTGTTTGTTTACTTGAACGCGTTAATTTTAGGAACTACGGATTCGAATTAAAAAAATATTGTTGGGTCGTTAAGAGTACTTATCGAGGAAAGCTATAGGGTATATCGCTTTGTGACTAATAAAAGCGAAGATATAGCGAGAAAAGAATTGGACAATTATTCATCATTATGGGTTTCAGAGGCGTACACTGCAAAAAGGGTAGAGGATACCGAAAAATGTGTATGTAGGAATTATTCTTCATTAAATGATTTTAAAAAACGATGCTATATGGATTAAATTTCAAGGACGACGGGAAGGGACGCGACCACCGTCGTTAACAGCTTAGTTTATAAAGAAGTTTGAAAAAACGAATTTTGATGCCCAAAATAACGATTCCCGCGGCCGAAGTCGCTGACTAAGCTAGTTTGATATATTTGACACGAAGGAAGGATATTGGGATTTTTTTTAAGTAAGAGTAATTTTCAAAATAAATAACTTGTTTGTTGTTTGCTTACCTCTTGACATTCCCAATATAATCAACAGTGTCGTTAGAAGAGGAAATGAACCAAGTGGCACTGTGCAACTCTAGGGGCGCCATATTGCAATCATATTTGATGTACTGTCGACAGAACAGCGAGTGGGATATTAACTCTTGCAACATTTCAGCAGTAAATTCACGATACTTGATTTTGAAACTGAAGTCTTGTCCGGATGCTGACCTTACATCCTAAAATATGATCTTTCGTAAGACACCGTTATAAATGGCTTTGTATGTTACAGCAACGGAACCATTTTACATAAGTCACTAGAAGATACCACAAGGTTTAAATAGAAACCAAGGTTTTTATAGTTAAAATTATAGCGTCCCATACGTTTTTATTTGGGTAGGTATAATTGAAAGTACATGGCTTCAATAAGACAGATGGACGGACCTGACGTACGACTTTACTGTAAAATACATTTATTTTACAGTAAAGTCTTACGTCAGGTACTAGGTTCAAATCTCGGGGACACGTTAAATTGTTTCGGTCGAGCAAGACAAACTTGACAATGACCGTGAAACTAGCTCGATGACCAAAACGGTCACGAAATGGGGGTGGGGGGAAATGGATGTCAATTTTTTTCAAACTGGTAATATAATATATATACATAATACATAATATTTTTTTATATATATTGAGTTTATATTACAGTTATCGTCTTATCTTACCACTTGGCTTGGTAGATTGTGTTCCACAACAGTAGTGGAAGAATCTGCCTCAATTTGGAATTCGCATTTCACGTGAGCTGGTGGAAACTTTCCGTTTCCGTCTATGTCTATTAAATACACATCATTTCTGGTATAGCCGAGCAGAGCCAGCTCCTCGCACGTCTTTCTGAATGTTGCGAAGTGACAATTTTCCCCAATGTAGCCTAAAATATATGTCAATGAAGGCTCTACTCTATATTATTAAGTACATGCAATAATTTACATAATTCTTATATTATATATTTACGTTGCTTGGATTGATCTTCCCTATTTAAAAAATATAAATATGTTTATTAAAAATCGATTATAAATTAAACCAAAATTACAACACGGGCAGGACATCCACAGCTTTCCGTACTGTTGCTCTAACCATTTGAGCTACCGTGGTCTTCATGTCATCGTCGAATTTATGACATGTGTTTATGATTTTAACATAATTTACGACGATGTATATAAAAGTGTTTTTTTGATTCAATGTAAATCTTTTGTTCATTATGCTGTTCACAATTATTATTTAACAATTCTTGCATAAATACTGTCTGTAGTTTACGTGTGTAGTACACATTTTAATAAAACACTAACGGTTTAAAACGCTATATAGTAATTAAACTTATTTGAAAATTATTTTATCTACGTCCCGACGTATCGGATGTTGCAGCAGCCGTGGTCACGGCGAGACGAGGGAGTTGGGCCGTAGTTTAAACAATTATTTAAATAAGGTTTACTAATATACATCGCGTTTTAAACCGTTAAAGTGTTTTATTTGAATTCTTGCATAGATCATTTGGTATAGTAGGAATTATTAAACATTTTGTTCTATAAGAAGAGAAGAATACCTACCTGTATTGTCACAGTTACAAATGACTCTGTCTTCCCTTATAGAGCAGATGCCACCATGTTCGCAGGTGTTGGGTCTCGTGCAAGGATCGACGTATCTGCATTCATCTATAGCTACTTCACCAACCACCCGCTCTGTATTGATTACAAACCTGAAGACAAATTCCATTTAAATTCCAATGTTCCTCAAATTTTCTTCTTCAAAGTAACTTCTAATACAGGAGTTCAAAAAGAGTAGTAAATTTATATATTATGTAGGATATGAATCAATATAATTGAATTAAACCCACGCCCACAGAAGCAACACTAAGGTTTCATATGTATTATTATATTCTTGACCTTCCACTAACCTAACTCGTTGAACACAAGAGGTCGTAAGTTGAAATTCTACCCAAATTTGAAATGTATTAAATATTACTCGTAAGTCAATATCTTCAGATTTAAATAAAATTTTGTTGCTAAAATATTATCAAGATTCAGTTTTGTGAGTTTTTATAGCATGGATACATAATTGTGTCTAACTTTGTATTATTAAAGCGAAGCACATAATTCGAATGCCTCGTGTTACGATTGGTATTCCCGAAAGAGGGTAGTTTCAAACGTGTTAACACAAAATGGTGCGTTCAAATTCACGCTATCGCGTTCACAGGGGATCCTTATTTAGGGCTTTAATCAAATTTCTGTTTCATCGTACCACATATTACAAGTATGATAGCGGCATTGAATGACAATTGTCAACGCGATATTCTAACTGAAGTATTGGCACGTGTAAATATTAATTATACTTGAAAGCACAAAGCAAACGAAACGTAATTTAGAAGCATAACGTATTGAGAAGCTTAGCGACTTGAATGTAATCTTTTAGTAATTTAATAAAGCACTTTAACGCTTTAAAACCAGTATATATATTTTTTAATTTATTTGAAGATTATTTTTAACTTCGTTTAAACCGTTAAAGTGTTTTATTTAAATGTGTACTTCTCACGTAAACTACAAACAATATCTTTTAGTACCTAAAGTTATTGTTCTACTGCTAGAAAATATATGTCTTTAGTATTTGTGTTCGTATTTTAATTTATACAATCTAAATTACGAACACAATTTTTTTTTTATTCAGTCGATGCTTTATTAGTTTGCTTAAAAAATAGTTACTTTCCCGCACTTTGCTGGACCTTCTATATTACTCTAATATACCTAAATAAATAAAATACCTGGGCTCAATTAGAAGTCCATTAATTTTGATGTTTCTCATACATCCAATCAATCCAAGATTGGCTGATTTAAGACCACTACCAATAACTACTTTATCTTGCAATTGAAAGTCTAGACCTAAAAAAATACAACAGTTATTTTTCTATATAACTATCTATTGCATAAATATTCTCTGGGCTAAATATGTCTTCGTGTTCAGTATGTACTGAAAATTGCGAAATATATTAGTATTTGCAGAAACTACCTGAAAATTACTAATTATGAGGAAGCAGGTGGTGATAGCTTAGCACATTTGGCTTTCTGATAAGGTCGAGTTGTAGTTATTAATATATTTTGCATTTTAAACCGTTACAACTGTTTTATTTGATAAACAATTATGAAAACCATTTCTATAAAAGTCAATAAAATAAATCTTAACTTACCAAACATTTGTGCGTGCTTATTATGATGATCAACAGTTAACTTGATTCGTCCTTTTCTGTAATCAAGTTCCACATTGTGCCAGTCGTTGCTAACGTTGAATTTAACTGACTTTAAAACGGTCACATTTTTACCCAAGTCTGGTACTAGTTCAAATCTTATTTCCTCTTTTACCATTCTAACCTGTGAATATATAAATGGACTTACTAAACTTACTTAAGCCTTGGGCTATTGTATATACTTAGTATATTATATCAATAGGCGTGATATATCTTACTTCCTTTTAAAAGAAGGAAAGTAATAAGCAAATATCTGGCTGCTAGAGGCAGAGTGGCCTTATAACAAAAAACATGATTTTCAATAAGGAGGAAAAAAAGCGCAATTAACTTAGGCGAAAATGAATTTGTACTATCATTTGTGTAAGAATTATGTTAACAATTTTCGGTCACTGTGCTCTTGTAAATTAACATTTTTAGACTAAAAAATATAAATAAGTCAAGTCATAAAAACGCACTTAGGCTACTCTGCCTATAGTGACCTCATATGTCTTCAAAAAAATTCTTTAGCTGTAGACATAGTGTAATTGAGGCGAATATATACTTTCTTTAAATACATACTATATTTATAAAACTATTATTATAAATATACCATACCTCAAAGTAACCTTGCCCATTGATCTGACTGTAAGCCAGCACAGCCATATTTTTACTTGTCTTGAAGTCAAAAATCAAATTGACACTATACGTCGTATTAATAGGCCACCAGATATGAGACGTAGCGAAGGGATACGTTATAGGGATCACTTCAACGTCCACCTCTTCAAATAGAGGATCCAACACTCCAATATAATGAACTTTTGGATTATTCTGTTTCAATTCATAAAGAATGGATACATCATTGTAATAAACATATTTAAGATTGCCAGCGAAATTATTGAAGGATTTTAATCCCTTCATTTTATGTAGATCGGGCCCTCCACAGATATAGATTTCTGGATCAATACAAACAAATTTTGCGTCTCCAGGAATTACATAGGACGCTGTTATATCATCCAGATAAACGTTAACCAGCTTCTCTTGTACGTTGATAGTTATGTTGTGCCATCTGTTGTTGTTGACTTTATCGCCTAGATAGTCTCCTACTGGACCATCGCCTAAATCTATTTGTATCGCCACTTTTTCCTGATGTATTGATAAGGCAATGTAGTGATGTTTGTCGTCGATCTGTCCGCTGGCGTAGAACAGGGCGGAATCGTCGAAGCGGGTCTGAAAATATGTTAAAGGGGCTTATTTTTATTATGTACTTAAGAGTGCATTTTTGTGATATTTTTTTTAGTGATAGACTGAAAAGCAAGGGGTGTACTTTATGGGAAGTGAAATATCCCAGCTATATAACCTCAACACAGGATGATCCATACATTGCTACCGTTAAACCAACGAGCTTGTCAAAAATTAAGTAAGTGTAAAAAAAATGTTCTTGTTAAATACACGTCCTAGTGACGATGATTTCATAATGTCAAACAACATTTCGCATAATAAGCGTAAAATCGTTAAGTAATACAATATCTAAATACCAAATTAATATACCCGTTAGCTATATACTTGTGTGTCACAGATAAATAAGGACCGTAATCGTAGAAAATATAACTAGTTTTAGTTCGTTGCGTTTCTGAGACTTATTTATTAGTAAATTTTATTAAAGTATTCGCTTCTACAGTACTTACAATAATAAACTAAAATATAGTAAAATGTAATGTTTATATTATTCTTATATTTTTATAGTAATTTTAAGGGAAGTTTAGTTAAAGGAAACAATAAAAGAAATTAGTTAATGAAATCCTGTTTCCCCTCGTGGGGCATAGGGCGAACACATTCTGTGTCTGTTTCACTAATCGGTTTTATTTACAGGCAAGTAGTTGATCAGACTTCTGTGCCCTGCCCGACCGACACAATTTACTGTTTCCTCCAGATTCGAACCCAGGACCTATCGCGCTCAACGCAATGTTAGGCAACACTTTTAACCATTTAGCTACAGAGGCGGTCCAATACAATAAAGAAATAAGACTGAATATTTGATTGATATTTTTTTCTCCTTAGAAGTAAAAATGCATATTAATAAAATTTAACAAGTTTGTCTTTGATTCTAGCAGTCTTGGAGGTCAATGTTTTCAGTGTATCTGTACGTTACAAGGAAAATGTAATAACGAATGTATTTTTATATCCTATCATTAAAGTACACTAATAACTTGAGAATAATTATAAGAAGTCACAGATCACAGGTGTTGCTGAAGGAGGACGCTGAGCTAATCATTATAATTGCATCTTGTCAGTTGCGGCACTAGAATTGTTTGCCGAGATTATGTGGAACTGTTATGATTAACGTAAATAAAAATACATGTTTGCAATACGTGATATTTGTTTTGTAAATTGTTTTAAAATTAGCAAATAGTCTATTTGAACAAAAAATTACATATAAAGGTACCGTATGCGTCAAATTAAATCTGATTAAGGTCGAAGGATTATAGGTACTAGAAGTAACTATACGATGATATATAGATCTTGTAATCTGATAGTCAATTGCAGAAAATTATAACTAACAAGTTCCAAAGTTGTACCTACACCTAAAGTGATGAAAATAATTGTAAAGCATCGGCCACGTCATTGTAGTAAAAAATAAGTAACTAATTATGTTTCAATTTATAATTGAGTTGTTATAAAAAATGTATAAGAGGCATAGACAGACTAAGAACTAAAATATACGCCACATTCTTGATCTTTTTGTCGTTTCTCTATTACATTTATATATATTTTGTTCAAATCTTCCACGAGCTTATAAAATTTCTAGGTTTTTGAGCTATTTGCAACTGAACAATCTATGCTAATATTATAAACGCGAAAGTAACTCTGTCTCTCTGTCTGTCCGGTATAAAATCCAAAACTACGGAACTGATTTAAATGAAATTTGTTACACAGATATTAGTCATAGGCTACTATTTAATGCTACTATTTAAACCTAAATAGTTAAAAATTCTACCCCCAGTCACTATTCCACGCGGACGAAGTCGCGGGCACAGCTAGTTGTTTGAATCATTCCTCAACCACCCAAACAGTTTGAAAACTTAAAAAGCTTTATGTTTTGTTAAGATAATAGATATGTGTGTATTACATGCTATCTCGTAGCTAGATCAAGGGTTTGGTTTTGAAGAGAATTGTGCTCTCATTCTCTCTTTCCGGGAAGCTTCTTATCTCTTTTTAAAGATGAGGTTTAAGTCTTTAAGGACCTAGTACACTACACCACCTTGGTCATACTATAACCATTGGTAGAATCATCTCACGCGTGTAAAACCGTTTCTTAGCTGTGATACTTATTATAAATTGACTCACCTTAAAATGCAAGCTGACTCTCGTATTGGTGGAGTGGACACGGTCTTTCCAATCGTAAACTCGATAGGACACGTAGCTGGAACCGCGTAATGTCAATATCGTCGCCGCTGCAATACGTTGCGTCACTCATCAAAATACCCTTTGATAACCAGTGTTTATTAATTCTGCGCTCGAGCCAAACTTAATTGGTCACAGTAGAACGAGGGTGCCTTGAGGCAACTTTACTTTGTGCAAATAAGGTTGGCTTTTGCGAGTGGTCTGGTATACTAGATGGGTCAAACATTAACAAAATTTCAAATATCTATACTAATATATAAAACCGAAGAGTTCGTTTAAACGCGCTAATTCTTAATTTAAAATAAACCATCGCGCTATGATTAATAGAAGCGAAGAAACAGCGAGAAATGTGAAAAAAACTGAGGAAATTATCCATCTCTCTGGGTTTTCGCGTACGCTGCAAAAACGGTTCAAGACACCCAAAAAATATGTATGAAAGAATTATTCCTCTTTAAATGATCGAAAAATATGTATATCTTTTAAGATTAACTTGCCAGAACGACGGGACGCGGCCGGTGTCGTGGGTAATAGCTAATATTTATAAATATGAAGAATAGGTTTGCAAAAAATTTGGATGGCCAAAATGACTATCCCACGCGGACGAAGTCGCTGACGCAGCTAATAGAATATAATTAAGTATGTGTTCTATATTTAAGTCTCCCCGTGACCACGGCTGCTGCAAAGCATCCGAAACGTCGGGCCGAAGTTAAAAATCATTTTCAAATAAGTTTAAATAATATATCGCGTTTTAAACCGTTAAAGTGTTTTATTTCATAATTAGTTCTTTGAAATGCGTAAATTTAAAATAGCTCGGAGATCAGAATAATTGTTCTCTTTATGCTGGACCATTACATATTATAAATTATAATATCAACCCGGTAGTTCGTAACTCGGCTAACGATAATATTGTCGCCAGTGCTTTGCGCAATCCGTATCTACCGGCTTATCTGTATTTAAATATCATTAGTTTAATTGACAAAGTTATGATTATGTGGAGTGAAAGTTGTCGGTTCGAAAAAACCGAGTCTTTCGCTCCAACGGACGGTATGCAATTGTGGATTTATTAGAAATATTTTTCGACAATTCTTTCACTACATATTTTACAGTATCCGCTATTTAGTAGTTATTATAAATTGTTTTAAGTACTGTGTTGTGTCTCGTAGTGTAAGTGACTCGGTAGCTCAACGCTGACGATGCCGGTTCAAGTCCTGCCCAAGTCGAAAATTTTCGATTTTTAAATGTAAGTCTAAGTATTGTTAACTAGTATTATGGACGCGAAGTCGAACGAGCAGAAAACGTATTTTCGATCCCTTTCGATACGTAAACAAGTGTATAATAAGAAGCGCTATTAATTTAGCGATTATTATAATAGCGATTCGATTATAAATTGACAAAAAAAAATACGACAGGGGAAGGACTTGAACCGGCACCCGCAGCGTTCTGTGCTGTTGCTCTAACCATTTGATCTACCGACCCCTCGCGTAATTTTCGATTTTTTTCAACCTCTGCACCGTGATACTTCTTGCGCAATTTTAATTTATGTAGTGCCATTATGTACAAAAAGCATGCGAAATAACAGTACTTTAAACGGTTTGAAACGCGAAAAGTATTAATATTGTTAAATTGCACGTTTTAACTATAAAAGCCTGATCTATCAAATAGCTTTAGTCTTTAAGTTTTATTTAGTACTCAAAACTGTATTCACTTTCACATTTCGTTGTGACTTTATTCTTATTATTAAGTTTTATTTTATACTAAAATAAAAAATACTTACTATAGACATCACAGAGTGGTTCTTCATACAACGTGCCGAAGCAGTCACACCTATACCCGTTGTACTCATTAATGCACCTGGAACCTTCGAAGCAGAGGTTCTCGACAGTTTTGCATTTATTGATGCAGCCTTCTTTCACGTTCTCGTGCTTCGTCGCGATCAATGGTACTATGGGGAGGAGATCGGAGGCGGCTTTACCAGAGCTAAGTACCATGTCGCTGATGCAGCCGACGAAGGATTCGATTATGTATTTGACACCGTGGAGCTTCTCTTCTGAGCTGAGACCTGTAATAAGCAATTGGTTAGTCCTTGTGAATATATGATTTATGAGTTGCTACCATACTAGAGAGATAATATATATGTCGTAGATAAATTGTGTTATAACCATTAATGAAGTTATAACTCCTATCTAAAATTCGGTATAGGAAACACTCAAGTCAAATCACGAAAGTACAATAAGTAATTTCAAATAATTGATAATTAGTATCATTTGGGTATCATTCTTTCCAATGACGAAATTGTTCAGAATTCAACTGCGAGCTATCAAAATACCTACAAGATTTACGAAGAACTTGTTTATTTGGTTATTAGATATAAATTAAAGTTAATGATAAAGGAAATTGTTGATTTCGTGACTGCGTTAAGGATAGCTGTTTAAGTAATAAAAGTTACCTCCAATGAGGATCACTGATGTAAGATTGTCTGTGATGCCGTAGTTCGTATCGAAACTTAAACCCTGAAAATTATTATGTTTTGTTATTATACAAATTATTTTCTATTCATTTTCTCCTGTACTTCAGTGTGCCTGGAAGAGATCGCTACTTAGCGATAATGCCGCCATTTATTAATTATAAGTTAGTATGTAAGATTTATGTGGCGTATTTTATAAATAATAAATAAAAAATAAAATAAGTTTAAAAATATATTAATTTTTAAATCAAAAAGGAATGCTACAAATATTTTGGTTTAAAAACATCTAATTGAATTATTTGTCAGTCAAATCACTTTCTTTACCTAAAAACTAACGTATGGTAAATAAAGTGATCGTATGCAGAGGGACTATGCGGCTAGTAAAAGTAAGAAGTCATGAGTTCGAAGCCAGACAGACGGAAAATACTCATTTGTCTCTAAACAGAATCGTGTCTGACGCATGCCTCATATAAGGGAAACCAGAAAGTGTTAAAGTAACCTTTAAATAGACTTCTTCCTTCAGGTGATCGACTTTAGCTATTAGCCTAGCTCCATGTACATCAATGGTGACTACGACGCTATGCCACTGGTCTCTGTTGAGGGCTCTGCCGACTGTCACTGACGTCAGGTGCTTGCCGAAGACGTGAACAACTGAGAGATATAAAAATAGTTGCTATGTGTCGGAACGGTCATTAGTACGGGACGTCAACTGACAGCGAAGCTAATGGTAAAGTAAGGGGACTTTGAAAGTCTAACAGACTTTAGTGCGGTGGCAATTCGAAGGTAGTAGATAGTCTTTTGAAACTTTTCTACGTTTCGTTCGTTTGTGGCTTAAATTATAACATTAAATTAAACCCACCCAACCTTTAACATTATTTAGCCCGTTATATTATGTAGATGGAATGAAACAATTCTTTTTTCTCTTTATGCAGCTTGACTCGTCTTACTTTTTTTGTAGTAAACAACAGCGACTTTTTTTTGTTAATTTTCATTCGAGTGTGACACCGCTGTCCACACTCTAAGGACTTACTGAAAATCAGTCTCAGGTCATCAAAGGGCCTGATAAAAACTGAGTAAGATCCTATTCTACTAGCAGCACACAACATTATCTTATCCCTTTAATATTAAGCTATACTGTTAAGATAAAATGATGTTTTGTTTTTTTATGTTTTAGTAATGAATGTAATATAACATATATTACATTCATTACTAAACTAAAACAAGTGTGCGTTAGTAGTCAATAAATTTCTGTCTTTCTCTTTCTTTCTTTCAAATTATCAGTTTTCTTTGAAAAAATTCATCCACATTAGACCTTCTAGTACGACATATATTAAAAAAAATATATAAAGCAAGGAATGTACGTATTGTTTTAATTACGACGAAATATGCCTGTTATTGTAGCTAACAGGAATGCCTACTATTTATTCGATTAACGTATTATTTTCTCGTTTAAAAGAAGAAAAGACACTCACAGTTTAATGAGATCACTGGATAAAATGTCAAAAATAAGTAAAGCCTTCTAACCTTTAAGTTCTCCCTTCTCAACGATCACGTACAAAGCATACGGCTGCATTTTAAATACCGGGTTTTTGACGTTGTGATATACTAGAAGACCGTGAGGTAGTCTCGTTCTAAATTTGAATGATATTTCTCTACATAATCTGAAAGAATAACATAGTTAATAAAATAATTCTGGTATAGAATAAAGGTTGAAAATGTATACTAATATATAAAGCTGAATATGTACTCTGTTAGTATCAACAATTCTTTTCATGATGGTTAGAGCACTTATCGAGGAAGGCAATAGGCTAAAAGACATTGAGATGCAACTAATAGGAGCGATGAAACAGCGGGAAATGTGAAAAAGACGGGGAAAATTATTCATCTTAGAGGGTTTCCAATCCGTGCGCTGTAAAAACCGTTCTAGATACTCAAAAAATATGTATGAAAGAATTTTGCTTCTTTAAAGAATCTAAAACAAATCCTCAACACTATATTATGTCTATCGTTTAAGATTAACTTGCAAGAACGACGGGACGCGACCGATTTCAGTAACAGCCTAAATTCATAAAGATACGGGGGAGGTTTGCAAAAACAAATTTGGATATCCAAAATAACAGTCAAATAAAAACCTTTCTGATAGCTGTTTCTCAATAAAATGTGTAGAGTAATCATTTGATTAAGGGACTAATCGAAGATTCAAACTACAAAGGAAACGGTTCTCAGTTTACGAGCTAACATTTTAATTTCTGAGACCCATGCCAGCTTTGTTTTCAAGTAAAAATGTCAACTAATATATAATAATTAATAACTTATTAAATGAAACCATTATGAGATATACCTTAGCTGAAACCTCTGTATAATGTCACCATCTAGCTGTATATATGTGTTATCCTTGGCAAACATGAAGGTCTGATGATGGCCGGACTCCGCAAAGGTGAGGAATCGGTCTCTGTTGCTGGGCGGAACGGGCGGGATGGCTGTCATGTAAGTAGTGGAGACGGTCGTCGTTGGCAGAGGAGAAGTCGACGTGTGGGTGAGTGTGGTTTGGGGAAGAGCTAAAAGATATGCGGATATTTATTCTATGATCTATTGTATTAATATCATACTAGCTGTGCCCGCGACTTCGTTCGCGTGGAATAGTGACTTGGGGTAGAATTGTTAATTATTTCGGCTGTTTATTAATTTATGTTATTGCGCATTGATCGCAGCGAATCTATGTTGTAAGTGCTACTTTGCCGCAACACTCTCACCTCACATCGCTCCTACTCTTACTCCCACTCTCACTCTCACTTCCAGTCTCACTCCCACTCCTATTCCCAAAAAGCCAAAGAAGAAAGTTTCATTGTTCTAGCTTCAAACGAATTTCCATACAAACTTTCACCCCCCCTTTTAAACCCTTACAGCCCCCTGCTCGCTATAAAAAGTAGCCTATGTTCTTTCTCAGAGTCTAAACCATCTGTGTACCAAATTTAGTAGTTTTGGCGTGAAAGAGTAACAGACAGACAGAGTTACTTTCGCATTTACAATATTAGTATATAGTATATCATATAGTTTAAAGATGTTACAGACAAGGAAAGCGTAAGGCTCGCTTGGTAAAAAGATAAATTATCCCAATCTTATAACAGCTTATTAAGATGCGCCGTCGTCCTATTTTGGCTTTGGACGGTCGGATATCTATAGCTTGAAGCCGAAAAGAAGATTTACACTATACGACTGTTTCATCAGTTGTTCTTGACCGAAATGGAATTTCGATAATCTGACCATCGATTAATTATATATTTTTCGAAACATATTTGCCTCGGTAGGAATCGAATTTAGAACTCGTAGATTATAGTCGTATATTGCATAAGAAATGGCTTCATAGTTTTTGTTCTTATGAATATTTTCTCCTCACACAACGCTCAATACGCTGACTAGTAAAATATAGGATATGAACAAATTTCTATTACAATTTGGTACCTTTTTCTTCCGCTGGTATATCCACTGGCAAACTTGTATCAACATCAGCTATCCCGTATAAAATAAGCATGAGCATTGCGTACAATCCTCGACGGTGCCGGAGATCCATAATTCTCTTCGCTTAGCATTTATCTGTAAATGGACAAAACTAAGTATTAAAGCTATGACTGTAACCGAAAAATAAGATCGTAAGAATATGTGAATTATGAACATATCGCGTATTTATCTGAAGCACTGATTTAGTTTTTTTTTACTTAAATACTGTCTATAGTTTACGCGAGTAGTACATATTTAAATAACCACTTTAACGGTTTAAAACGCGATATATGTTATATGATATGATGCTTTGCTGCAGCAGTGGTCACGGGGAGACAAAGCTGCTGCAAAGCATCCGAAACGTCGGGCCAGTTAAAAATCATTTTCAAATAAGGTTAACTAATATATCGCGTTTTAAACCGTTGAAGTTTCTTGCACTAACTAAGTCATGCTAAATTTAAATCTTTATTATTTATTCGCTGTAACGATTATTCATATAGTTAAGGATACACCACATATTCGTTAAAGGAACCTTTAATTTCTATGTGTAGAAATATTTAAAATTGCTTTTTGAGAAAAAATATATTTTTCTTGGGCTGATTTGTGCTATCTTGTGTATATAAGATGCATTTTGTGCCTTTATTTCTAATAGTAGGTTTTTTTATTTACATACTTAGGAATGTTTTTTATTGCAATATGCTACATATGAACGATTATACCGCTTCGAGTTCAATTGGTCCTATTATTTGCCGTTCGTAAAAAAAATGATCAGAACTTTTTTTCTCAAACAAGGTTTTTTCCCTATTTCGCACTACAATCGTTTTTTTACAATTTTTATAGCATAGTTGAAAAGAAATTTACTAAACCGAACCGAACCGTTAGAAATGTTCTAATTACTAACATCTTATATTACCATAACTCGCCTGTAAAAAGCGAAAACTAATAAAGCTATAAATACCATTAAATCTTACTGCCTTCGCCTCACTGTTCACGGGCGGCAACATTCTAACGAAAGTTATTAATTATCATTTTACGACGTTCATGGGCTTTTCATTGACTATTATGTTATGCAATAACATCATACACAGACAGATTATCATAATAAATTTAATAGACAGTTACGAGGCGCTAAGCAGACGTGAGGACGATAAGAGTATCATCTGTTGGTACAGATTATGGTCAAACATCGTGGGTTCGTTTCTCACAGGTTCCAAAAGGTTTGTAGATTTAATATTATGTTTGAATCAGGGTCTGAATATCTGTCGGTTAAATGGATGAAAGGCCTATAGGCCAACAGCGCACTTGATTTTTTATGATAGACGCGCACAGACAAGCATGGGGTAGGTGAAAACCTCCAATTTACACCTACTCAAGATGCCCTGTCGATTTATCTAGCTTTGTATATTCGGAAATCCACAGATTGCAACCAAAATGCGATTACAATTAACGGCTTTTTTATCTGTAGACGGTAGCCGTACGTGACCAGGGCGGAATTTCGAAGTCTACCATCAATTTAATATACATATTGCCAGACGAAGTCCAACATGTTTCAGACAAAATTAGAAATTGATTAAATTTTGGATCTGATCACACAGCCCGATGATCTTTTTTTTTGCTATTGTCACATCAATGAGCCTGACAGATTAAAATCAATTGAATGTTATAGGCACCTATACTGGGTTTTTCTATTTTATTTAATAACATCTCTGTCGCTAAAGCACTTGTTTCGTCTCTTCTGTTTCATTTGCGTGTAACCACGTGATTTTGAGGATAATTTCCTTAAAATATCATCTTCCACTCTCATACAACACACACACAATTGACATTGAACCCTTTGCCCTTCACTTAGAGTTTGTTTTATTGTTGCTCCATTTCAGCATAGGGTATAGAGCGGAAACATAGAATCAAAGGCTACGCACACAAGGACGTGCTGGCTAAACCGAGGCCAGATTGACTTGAGCTGTTCAGAACGTTAGTTTATTTGAATTGTTAGGAAGGACGAGAGGTCAAGTGTATCTGGTTAGTGAGTGCAGTTAAATTGGCTCAAGTAACCGCATCGTTTTAAGATGATTTCGGATCGAAATCGGTTTTGAGTTTTATTTGAAAGTTGCCAAATTTTTTCCAACTAGCATTTACTTGTAATGCAACACTTTGCTATCATCTGTTCCTGTTTCTAGTTACAGATATAGTAATTGGGAATTATATAAAAATTACGTCAATATAGGACTGAAAAATGCTAACACTTTAAACTGACAATATCCCATAAGATATTGTTGTATGTTATTAAGAATTATGTAACGAATATTTCAAGTTATATGTGTACTTACATTTGAAATAAGCGATTGTCTTTTAAAAAACTACTTAAACACAAATCACAAAACTGGCGCACAGTTAACAACAGTTAAAAAACAAAATTGATAATTTCCCTCCATATAGCGCGGCACAGATTAAAATCTGCACAGATAAAGTAATGTCATAGATAAATATTCCTATTTTGAATTTCGGCAATACGAGTAACGCCACCCGTATAGTCAATCGCGGCGCACTGAGGCGACGTTAACAGTCATACATAATGACACCTACAATTTGTCCTCGGTGCCCATTGCCGGCCCGAGGGTACACTAGAGGATTTTTTTCTTAAATAAGTACAAATAGGTTGTAATTGTTATTTAATATTTATGAATGTTTTAGGGATTGACTTTACTTTTAATAAGGTGTTCCATTTTTGTTTGTTAAGATTTTTAATCTGTAGATGCAAACTGTTTCATTTGTGAATACGACTGGCTGGATGTACATTAAAAAAAAAAAGAAATAATTTTCAACGAACTATACTAAGTATAATATATACTAAGTAAGTAAGTAAGTACGAACGAAAATAAATGAATGTCAAACATTTAATGATTTGGTAGTTAAATTGTTGTATTTGAAGAAAGTAACATATTTTTTTCATGACTATTTTTGACTAATTTCTTAGTATGAGTTATGAAGACGTTTGTGCAGTTTTTATATTGGGCTAAGGATGCAAGATGTAGTCACGAGATGCATTTGATTAATTAAGCGAATTGACCGCGATGTCCTAACTGACACTAACGTTACTTAATTGGCAATAAGAGTCAATTATATAAATTTACATTTACACATTTATCAAATCAGCCATTTAAATTTAAACGTTGAAATAATGTTTCTTAGCTTATTACTTGTAATTATAATCCGCTATTTTTATTTATATGTTTTTATAAGAATAATGAGGCACAAAATACACTGTACTAATATACTTTTTTGTAACTACATTGTATCAACCGAAAATTAATTTGAAATACATATTTACAATCAAAGTAACCATACTTAAAAAATAAAACGCAATTCCGGTGCAATAGTTCTGCAGATATCAATAGTCAGTTTATGCCAGATACAACAAATATTTAAGGTGGGAGAGATTAATTAAAAAAAAAAAAGATTTACATTACGTTTAAATCTATCGCGGAAATCTCAAGAACAACAAGTTCGAATAGTTTTTTTTGTGTTGGATAGACCATTTATCGAGGAAGGCTATAGGCTAAAAAACATCAGGTTGCGATCTATATTAGCGAAGAAACAGAGAGGGATGTGGAAAAATTATTCATCTCTTTGGGCGTCCGTTCGTGCGCCCGGTTTAAAATATAATATTATAATTTTTAATATACAATACAATTTTATATTAAACAATACAGAAGAAACATAACAACAACGTACATAAAACTACATAACACGTTATGCCACTCATATAGCCATATAAAAATAATAAGTACAATAATCTATCTCCTCTATCATGGCCCTGTGTTTTTGATACATTGTCCGCCATTTTGTTTAATGTTTAGACCTTGAGGACTTAAATAAACTTATTACGCCATTTATCGAATTAAGGAATGGCGATGAGCATGACGTATTTACTTAATTTTTACCGTATTGTACTGGTCTGAAACCGGTTTATCAACTTTCTGAGGCATTCTTCTATTAAAACCTAATTATGCACGCTTTCCTCGATTTGGCTGCATAATATTTGTTTATTATAAAATGTCGTGACCGTTTCGTTACGCATGCAAACTATAACTTATTTTGGAGATTCGTAACGTAAATTAGTTTAAATTAAATACTGTCTATAGTTTACGCGAGTAGTACACATTTAAATAAAACACTTTAACGGTTTAAAACGCGATATATTAGTTAAACTTATTTGGAAATGATTTTTAACTTCGGCCCGACGTTTCGGATGCTTTGCAGCAGCCGTGGTCACGAGGAGACAGTAAAAATAATTCTCAAATAAGTTTAACTAATAAATATCGCGTTTTATTTGCATGTGGTAGATATGATAATGGGATTATAGGAGCTAAAAACACAGCATTGTTTATTGTAGATAAGAGTAAGTAAATTGTATCGTTTGTCTCGCACTCATCTTGTAATTTGTTGTGTTTAAACAGCTTTATAGATCGAACGTATTTCATACCAAGGTGTTAATTGATAAAACAAATCGTGCTTCAGTGCAAGAAGTGCCTTTTAGCAACTCTGATATCATTGGACTTATTCCCTCGGTTCAAATATTGAGTCGAGTTCATTGGTATATGAAGGCCACTTTGTACTTCTCAAAAAGTGGCAGTTTTCAATTTATATCTTTAATCACTGCTTTGTAATATGTGAATATATAACTACTAAGGAATCAAAACTTAACTTACTTAATTACCTAGAGTAAATTTGTGGTGATCTGTAATGGTAAAAAAATAGGAAGGATGGTAAGTTACACACGACAAACTACAAAGAGATTACATGAAAAAAATATTTAAAAAAAAAGTGTAGACTCAATATATCTTTGTGGGCGTTAGGGCGAGCTGATATGTACGAAAAATCTGCAAAAAAAGTCAACTGGCCGCCCTTAAAGCTAAAAAAATTGATGATTGATTAAAAAGTTCAACTGATGACGTAATATATGATAGATGTAATAAAACCAAGATTAACTCATTTTGCTTTTATAATTGAGGAACATAGACAAGCATAGAATTTACTTGATAGAAGAAAAAGTCCAGCCATATAACATCTCGC